CATAATCGATCTCGAAATTAAAGAGAAGAGAGGGTTAATTTGAAAAATACCTAAATTATCCTTCAAATGATTAAAAAATCCTTCTCTACGTGGCCTCCAAGATTAAGCTAATGTAAGCAAACGTTTGGGTCATCCTCCAACTAGGAGGAAACCCAACAAAGCAAGTCAAAAGGAAAGAAAAGGATGGCAAAATGATATAATATTAATGTCTATGTTAAGATTAGGTTGGATAAAAAATTGGATAGTCCGGCCAAAATGGACTTTTAATTAGGGGTGAGTAAATGGTTCGATTAACTAAAAATCGAATAGAACCAAATCGAATTATGAAATTTTGTTTGATTTTAAATTTAAAATTGTATAATTTAAAACCGAACTAAAAAATCAAAATTATTTTTGTTCGATTTGGTTTTTAGAAAAAAATTTGGTTTTCATCGAAAACCAAAATAAAAAGTAAAAAAATTTCGATTGCAACTGATGTTATTGCAACCATGTTTTGATTTTGAAATATGTTTGACATATTTGTTTGTGTGTGTGATTGTTCTACATATTGACTTTTGAGTATTGGAATATGATGCTACTGTAGTACTGTCTAATTAGAATATCCTTTGATTTTGTATTTGCTAGTAAAAAAAAATGCTATCTATGCTAGTAAATACAAAAGCATAAGTAGAAGTAAGTAGTAGCACTTGCTAATAAACACAAAAATAAATTAATAAAAATGATTTTTTTTGCAACAAAATATTTTGGTTAAAACCAAGATATTTCGAAACCCGAAATAATTTGGTTACAAACTGAATTTATCAAATTTATTTTGATTCCGTTTTGGCTTTTATTTTTCTTAATTTGGTTAATCGAAAACCAAACTGAATTGTACAAAATCAAACCGTTTTATGGTTTGCCCACGCCTAATTTTAATGATTCAATTTCTTGTGATTTAATCATTGAGGGAGAAAATTTTAGCATTAATTGTATCTTTTTAATCAATATCTTTCTCATGCTTTGGTAGAAGGTTACACTCAAAAGGAGGAGTTTCCTCTTTGGAAGGAGTGTAATTAATGGGTCATATTTTGTCGGCTTAAATCCTTAATTATTCGTTGAAACTTGAAATCCTTGTATCTAGATTATGAAAGGTGGTGCTTTTTTCTTATGTTATATCAAAAAATTATATATATATATATATATATATATATATATATATATGAAACTCGTACAATCTTATCACTATTTTATGCTGAATTTTTTATTTTTAATATAAAAGAAAACATAGATGATGATAAATATTCAAATTCATTGTTGTTTAGTCAACAAATTTTTTTTACCATATTAAAAAATTATATTAATTCAAAAATTTTAAAGGCTAGATGATTTTTTTTTAAGTTAATATATATTACTCTTGGAAAAAAAAAAGCACCTGTATCTGCTCACAAAGTAAAATGAGCAGTACTAAAACATAAACCATACAATCCTCTATCACCATAGGAGATGCCCAGCATTTTCAGTGCACGTGGTTCTTCGACGTGTGCTTCATTTCATACCGTGCATTTTTACTTCAAAGCTTAAATTCGATAGCGAAATACGTCCAGCCAGTCGAAAGGAAGGAAAAGGGTGGCAAAATGACATAATATTAATGTCTATGGTAAGATTAGGCTAGATAAAAAATTGGATAGTCTGGCCAAAAGGGACTTCTAATGGTTCAATTTCTTATGATTTAATCATTCAGGGAGGAAATTTTAGCATTAATTGATTGATTATGCAGGTATAAAAGGAAAGTATATTGAAAGAAAAAGGTTTCTCTAATCTATTGGTGGGAAAAGCATTTGGACCCCTTCTATCATCAAGATTAAATCAAGCTATTGGAAAGAGAACTCGGGCCCTAAAATAATTTTGAATAGAAAGGCATGATATATAACTGCAAGAAGTATGCCATTGTACCAACCATTCACGATCGCATCCTTATCCTTTCCAGCAAAGAGCCAATTCTAACAAAAAATATACTTAATTAATTGGAAGCTACGATTCCAAGATTGTTGAGCTGAGCCAAATAGAAAGTAGAAATTAAATACATATAAATTCAGCTAATTAATTTAATAAGACATGGGGACGACACAAGAGGTTGAAGCTAAACCACATTCGACTGTGTCAACGGAAATCCAAAGGAGTGGGAGGAACATATACGTCAAAAGTCAGTCCAGCTGTAGTGCATGGTTGTTCATCACGTAAAAAAAAATTCATGTAAAATGTTTATGTACGTAAAATATTTCTCATTTGTTCAAATATTTTATGCAAAAAAAACTCCTGGTGCAGTCACTAATTAATTAATATTTTTTTCCAGCCTTTTAAGCCAATCTTTGTATATCAAAATTAGTATGGTTAAATTCATTCAGTTCAGGATTAGGAACTTCATGAGAATTGTACTTTTCATAACCTGATGTAAGATTTTAACCTTTTTTTTTTTTTTTTTTTGTTCAAGAGCTAATCCACATGGAATGAATGAGTAAGTAGAGATAAACATATAAAGTTGAGAATGAATCATCTATCTTAAGACTTAAATTTTTTAAATGGAATACAAACTCAAATATCATAATTCACCATGGTAGACGAGTTTTGAAAAGGTGTAATAACCCAACGAAGTTTTGAAGTTTAAATATGCGTGACACCCTCAAAACATGAGCTGCAAAGTGAGGAAGTTTGTTACATAACTAATCAGACATGAAAAATATAAATAAATGAAGAGCAATAAGTATTGAAAATAGATCGTACATCTCAAAACTATCAAAACATGAGTTGCAGGTGAGAGAGTTTTATTCAATTAAATGGATTTGAATTCTATTATTGTTTTCTTATCTTCTAATTTAAATTTAACAACATAAAATAAAATATGAATATATATAAATTTAAAATTTATAGTTTTTATTCGATAAAACATGTTAAAAATTAATATAAAATCATTCATAAGATTCAGGACTTTTAAGCAACAGTGGCGCAGAGTGGTCATGGTTGTGAGAGTAATAGGCCTCAAAAATTCTTCAAAATTCAATATATCCCTGAAGTTGAGTATTATTTTCATGTTGGCATTTATAAATTAATTACTAGGCTCCTAAAAATGTTCAAATATTCAATAATATCCCAAAAGTCGTATGACATTTCTAAATTAGCTCCCCAAGGGTTTTGGTTCGCCCTCGGCCATTAGCTTAATTAAATTTTGGGTTTGAGTGGTTTTTCTGACGTCGTCAATTGAATATGGCTACCCTAACTTGGTCCTTGCTGTTGATTAAACATTTTTCCCCAAGAGACTGCTGTTTCTTGGAAAAATTTCACGAGGTTTTAGTTTAAAGTTTATGTGACTAAGAAAAATAGTAAATAATAATGAAGTTGATTTATGAAGACATTAACTTTTCAAACATTTTGAACAAATCCAGGTGAGAGAGAATGTATTAATGAATCACGAGGGCTTTATTTCATCTGCAATGGTATATACTTCAATTTTTATCTTTCCTTTGTATGGTTGTGCTATGGATTTGTGTTTGTATCATGGGAAACTTCCAGGCAGGCACGTAGAGAAGTACCTCCCCAAGGAAGAAAGACTCAAGAACATCTGGATTTGGGAGAGTCGGCCATTTGTCCTCTTTTAAGGTTTCAAGAAATATATTTTGAAGTACTGTTTCCCTCTTTTTTTTTTTTTTTTTTTTTTTAATAGATTCCACAGACAAATAGAATGAAGAAACTGGAAAAGGGCCATCGCAGAAAACATTACCCATTAAGACATGAAGAAGTCTTGAACCTTACACATTACTGAATTTCAATTATCTTAATAATTCCAGCAGCCAACCTTTTTCTTCCACACACAGTAGTGTCAACAAACATCAAATCCCAGCAGAGATTGTCATCCATCAAGGAGGGATTTTTTATTGGGTGGGTCGTCATGGTTTCATGATAATGAGAAAGGAGGACGCTCTTTTGGCTGATCATCTTTGGGCATTAGTCACTTTCTGTTAGCTGGTGATGAAGAAGATTCCTCTCCAAGCAGCAGTCACCCTCAGAATTTAGAAAAACGAAAAAGAAATGTCGAGTAGTGATACGTTTTATCATTTCTAGCCCTTCAATTCATAGTCCTCTGAGATAAGAGTCATCGTTGACTCCTTAAAGATCTCGTTTCCTGCTGTGGTTTTTACGTGTTGACTCGTGCAGTCGTGCTAATTGCCTTTCTTTTTCATGTTACAGCTATGTTAGCCCACTTGACCTTTTTCGGTGACAAAAGCGAAGTTTCAACTTACGGATTTAATTTCGATTTCATTCGAAGGAAGCTTGATAATTAAAACAACCATCAACCATGTACGTGATGAGCGAAAAGAATAACAAAATAAAACGACCAGACTTAGACTAACCTATCAACTCTATCTCAGAGACTACCCTGTAGATGAAGGAATGTGCAGCTAATTAAGTCATAATCATCTACTTCAAGAATCGATCTACCTCACAAAGGGTGCAAAAAGCATTACGATTAGTGTTAGCCATCAGATAGGTTTTCGGAGGTGAAACTCGCTAATAAATTTGTCTGGCCTCCCCGGAACTCCTTTTCTTCTTATGATTCTTTAGCTTATGCTCTTACCTACGCATCGTGCCTCCCCCTTGTAGTTCTTCATCCCAGTGAGAAACAAGCATTGATTACTACTTTCATCTTCACCTCGAGTAGTCGAATCCATTTTAACTTGCAATAATATTTGAAAGTGGAGGCATTAGCATTCTGCCAATTATGAATAAATGACTCCTCTTCTGTTAAAAACAGAATAAAAAGGTCGGGAGTCATTGGACTATTTTGCCAAAGAAAGAGTCCATCCTCGTTCCATTATTCGAACAAAATTCCAACTTCCATTCTTTGTTGTTCAAAGCCGCAGTGACACAAGTTTTTGCTTACACGTAAATCTCCCCATCCTTAGTCAAGGAATCGCATAAATCACTGACATTAAGTCACCTTTAAATGATATGGAGCGACATGCTGCCTATTCTCCACCAACCTTACCAAGCGACATTCTGGTTGATTCCATGAAAATGGTCGACTTTGCTGTTACACGCAATATGCCTACTTTACCTTGCAAGGCCATTTTCTTAATTCCTACACTGCCGGCAGCCATTTTTCCAGGGGACTTATCCAAGCCAACAGCATTTTCAATGACAATCTACAGCAACTTTTAAACCACAGATTTGCAACAAGATACAAACCAGGAAACCCATGTTAATCGTGTTACAAATGTTGCCTGAGCCTGACCATGCAAGTCCACAGCAAACAAGAAAACTAGTTTACCAACATGAAAATGAGCATCGTATACAAACCAATCATCTCTTCCCACCACATTATATAAAGAATATCAACTGTTTTACAACCAGCAGCAAGCTACCCTTGGAAGCCTCTGCAGTAAACCCAAAAACTCCAAAGACCAAGCGGACCAAAGTTTCATAATGCTTGTAGACTACTCGTTACAAAATGGGATAAAAATAGAAAGGGTGAAAAAAAAAAAGAAAGAATATTGGCTACATTTATCAAAAATTATCATTACAAAGTCGACCTCTCCAAAATGATTCCGATCCCAGTGACATGGACTCTATGCATGTTGTGCTTCTTGATTTCAAACCCAGAGGACAATGGGTCTCAAATCAACCCCGGAAAGAGGTACGAGTATAGAGGTGATTGAAACAAAAGGACCTCTCCACTCCTCACCCCACAACCCCCCCCCCCAAAAAAAAAAAAAAATACAACAGGAGAAACAAAGAGAACAACACAAACTAGCCGAGACAGGCCTCTTCTGATGTAGAATTGACCAGACTCACCAAACAATGACTAACCTGAACCCATGGCAGAGAAAGTCGCAGCCCCCTTATCCCCCAATCTGCAGACCAATTAGGAACTCAAACAGCAAAGCTCCACAATAACTTTGACCCTGAAAATTCTTCAGGTCTGACTGACCTCCATGACCATTGAACTAAGCAAAATGCTTTAATGAGACTGGCAATGACTCCAATGCAATATGCATGAACTGGACAGCAATGAACAAGTTTGACCACAAGGTCTCCAAGCCTCTAAATTATGAAGCACCAACAGCAGATGCCTTCTCCAATTTTTCTTTTTCAATCGCTACCCTCCTCTGCTCAGCATGTTCGGCAACACCATTTGCAAGCGCTTGAAAATGAAAGTCAAGTGTCTGTGTAAGATTCTGAAACCTTAATGGATCCAATGCTTGCATGGCTGATTAAGCAGAAAAAAAAATGACAAAAGTTACTGGTTAGATGCCACCCAAGAAATTGGTCTTAAATCTTTTTATGCAATATAGCAAAAGAGGTTTTGCTTGCCTTTTATCGTGTCCACAAAGAGAATGAAAGGGTCCACCTCATCAATTGGTGATTGCAACTCCTCATCATCACTATAGTCATCATCCGAGTCATCATCGTACTCATCATGCGGACGCATAGATTTTGCCTGTGGTGTAGACATAGCAGCTAATGATTTGAGTAAAATGTGCAAGAATGTGTTACAAGTATAATAGAGTTGAGGAAATACATGAAACAAATAGTTCAGTGAAACTTCAACACCAACTCAGCTTCTCTATAAATCAAGGTTTTAAAAATTAGTTTGATATGTTAACAAACTTAAAACAACTATCTCATGTAAAATCCATCCAGAGTACCAATTGATAGCTCAATGCCTCTCAAATAACATAACAAAACAATATAGTATAACCCACATAAATTAGCAATCCCAGCACAGAAGTTCACCTGTGAGATACAGGAACAAAATATATAAATGGCATAAGGAAATCAATTGCATGGTCTGAACATCTTATGGGCCACGGCAACATTTTGTTCATGCAATATCCTATAAATGGATAAGCAGATCAAGAGAAGCTGGCTCCATATGTTGACTTCATCAGGGACTATCAAAGATACAGGCACTGGAGAAACTCCAGAGCACTTTGCAAGCTACTGGACAGTGTTATACATAAATGATTAGGAAAATAAAACAAACAAGCAAGCAAGCACCAGTTTGAAATTTTTCCATATCAAGGAAGCCATAACATCAACCAGTTACTGGTTTTCCAAGAGTGATGCAACATATCACGAAGAAAACATAACAAATAAATCACCAAAAGACATAATGGCAAACATTGTAATTTTAGTGAACTTTCTGGGCATTTTCTAATTATCACTATTTGTGTATCATTGGTTAAAGAATATTTGTGACAGACAGCTTTACTCTTTAATGGACTGTTGACTTCTCAAAATTTTAGATTTTCCAACAATTGAAACTACATGTCCTCTTTGAAAAGGGTCAGGCTCAGAGGAGAATCAACTTGCATTGCAACCTAGCACTCAACACTGATTTTTAAGTGCCCTCCCTTAGTAGTAAAGAGAACATGCAAGAAATGAGGGGGAAATGTAAAAGGTAATGTGGGAAGTGAAAGCTATAAAATAGGTGCTTCAGCTTTCTCAGCATGGACCTGCATTTTAAAAGGATAAAATAGAGAACAAAGGCATTCTCTTGGTACAGAGAATAATTTGATTTCTCTTTTAAACACTTGCAGGATTTATAAGATCGAAGAAACATATACACAAATGCTTAATATTCACATCCAGTAAAAAACAAAGTATATATTAAGGCTACCAATACCACCAGCCTATTCAAGAAAATATGTGGTTAAAAAACCATGGATTCTTGTTAAGGATGAAATTATGAGAAAATGATCTCACCTGTGCAGCTAACTTGTGAAGTTTAATGCTGTCAGCTTCATCCCCATCCTCAGCATCAACTCCCATTTCTTTGTCAGAACCATCACCATCATCATCTTCGTCGTCAGTCTGGAAACCATCCATATCATCAAGATCTTCTGCTTCTTCCTCCTTTGCAGCTTCTGTCCCAATACGTAATGTGCGTAAGTATACCAATATTGTACCGCACTTATAGAAGAAACATCTAAGTAGAAGGGGAAGAGAAGGGCAGAGTCAGACCTGCAAGTTGATCCTTGTATCGAACAAGGAGATCAAGAGTGGCCCTGAAAACACGACCCAGAGCCTCCCCTGGTAATTGATCCGCAGGAAGAGCAAGTAGTGCTGTCAATCCCAAACAACAAACTTTCTTATCATGTTCCCTGCACCGCAGAAATCACTAGCATGATACACCAATCATAGAAACCATTTAATGGATTAGAAGGAAAATAACCCACCACTTTACAACTTGTATAATGCCCAAGGATAGAGAAAAGTATAGGAAAAGTTACCTTTTAAAATTTGCCCGTACACCACTCCTTTTCACTTGTTGCAACATCTGAAACCAAAGATTAAAGATCTCTGTAGCAACACCAAGTTTGTGCAATATGCTGAGGGTCAAAGCTGCATTGTAGTAAAGAGCATCCGCAACCTGCACAGAAAATTCAGAAGGGATCCTTTTAACAATTTTCAATTCAAATTTGAACAAAAAGCTTTCAAAAACTATGAGTAGCCTGCTACAGACAGATAAGAGATCCACTTAAAAAGCAAATAATCTTGTTAAGCTGCCAAAAGCATTAAATACTAGCTTACCACAAAATAAGACATCTTTACAAAAACATCAACTAAATCAGAATGTCAGATTTCAATTTCCAACCTCGCATAAGCCAATTCTCAGCCACAAAATCAGTATAGCCTATTATAGGCTCATATAAAAGGAAAAAAAGGTGTAATATCTGTGGCACGGATGTTTATAACTCTCTGAGTGTGGGATGAATTATTAGACTCATACAGGAAGAAAAAAGGTGTAATATCTGTGACACAGCTTATAGCTCTCTAAAAGTGAGTTAATACCTCCCATGTAAATATTAATCAGCTCACTAAATCATTCTTTTCAGGCAACTCAAGAAATTTGCGAGTAATAACAACTAATGCAAAGATTCATAAGTAAACTCCACCAAGCATGGGACTAACTACAAAACTGACTAATATGAAAACTTGCAATAACAAATAAAAATGTTCTTTGTAGAATATTGATTAACTAGGACATGGCAGATCTAAATAAATCCTTCTGTTACCCTAACATCAGGAATGTATGTCGTCATGGGATTTTAAAAGGTGCCTTGCTATATAAGTTTATCAGTTTGAAGGGCTAGTCCAAGTTGTAAAATGAAAATTATGGGTCCCCAGAAATAGTAGACCGATTCTGAGTCACAGAAAACACATGCAGACACACAAAAACATAATTTGAAAGTAAAAGAGATGATCAGAGGCTGGAAAGCCCTCAGGATGAAGTGCACTGAGAAATCCCAAATTTCTCAAGAAATGGATCTTCAATAAAATAAATGAAAGTACAATATCCATGATCTCATGGAGAATCCTTGACAAACCAGCTTCCAATATTTGTGTAAAATATCAACTAGGATGAGTAGCCAAAGCAACATTATGGGTTTATTCCTTGAGTATTTCAAGCAAACCCTGAAATTGGAGACTGCCTGTTGTCCAATAAAGACCTAAAATTCCTAATTACAACCAAAAGGATTAGTTATAAATGATTTTAGTGTGAAACACTAGTCTATTCCACTATCACATGCTCTAGGCCTGTCTGCTCCCAGTTAGGGTTAGGAATATGGATTACCTACTCAAACCTTTGCACAAGGTGCAAGTTCAAAACTTCAAACTACTTGACAAAATCAATCCTGAGAAATAACCAATCCTAGAGATAAAAAAGAAACAAGATATGGAATTTGGAGGGTAAAGTACACTCAAAAGGAAACGTCTTATGTCAAAACATTTGTGAAGTAACGTTATAGCTCCTTACTACTTGCATAAGAAGACATTTCAAATATGATTTCTCAGTTCGTCGCAATCGCTCAACAGTGATTCTCAGGTATGGCTCAACCCACTGATCCACTTGCCCTTTACAGTTCTGAAAAACCACTTCAATAAGCTTTGGTGCTGGTTCTATGTCACTGTCTTCCAAGTTTCTATCTGCCATGATCTGCAAAAGAACAAAACATAAGACCATAAAACATAAATAGATAAACTAAAATAATATTGTAGAAAATAGTCTCTTCATTCTTCATGCTTCAATTGCACAATTAGCAAAAGAAAAAAAAAGGTGTTTAATGATTATAAAATTAACTCACAGATGAAATCATGCTCCAAAGGCTTTGTTGGTAATCTGGTTCCCTGCATGCAAGGAAATGTGCAGTCCCCCTGGATATATAGTTGTCCAAGGGAACCAGAATATCTGCAGCAAAATATAATATCATGAAGACTGTTACAAGGACTAAAGAAACTGGTCCTTCAAAGCCATATAGCCTTTAAAAAAATTAAATGCATCAAAATATACGAACTTCAATTCATTCAATCACAGATCCTCAATTTTGTGGTCTTGTTCAAGCTACTAAATAATATTGGCAGTTCAGGAACATTAATTTCCATATAAATTTAGCAAATCATAACAATGTCGGTGTGAAATACCAATGACAGCATTAGCTGCCAACATGTCACAAGTGGCAGAAGAAATCATAGCAATGAACTAAATACATACTTGGAAAGAAATCAATTGCCCAATCTGCCAATGCTTCTATCATCAAGGGCCAGAGAGACCACATTTCCGTAGATATTGTTGGAGAGAAAAAGGTCATATATGAAACAATTTCCAAAACTTCTTCAAACACCTCTGCAGAAAGATATAAATTAGTTTTCAATCTCAGAATTTCAACAATATAACAAAAGCCTCAATCAATATCATGCCATTGGAAACAATTAAGCTTTAAACAGAGTTAGGGCCTCAATAGGTAATTTAATACTAACATTTTTTACATGGCAAAATAAAAAGTAAAATACTTATGTAAGTTTTAAGGAAAAGCAAAAGAGATGAGAATTCAATTGCATAGTCTAAGTTTGCAGAACGCTGTATGCTCCTGCTTTAGCATTTTTTCAATCAAGTGACAAGCTGCCCGAGAATACAGATTTACACACTAGAAGGCATAGATGTTTCATTCCCAGGGAGCAACGGGAAAGAAGACTGGATTACCAGGAATTCCTTAGAAAAAGAGAACTCCTCAGTTAGCCTTCAAACCACATCACAAACTAACCTCACTGGATCTGAGACAACCAGATTGGCAAGCAGAACCAGAATAACTAGAAAAAATTTAAAATTGTACTAATTAGAGCAGATCACAAGAATACAGGCAAGTTCTAATATTCCAAGCAAACATCAGAGTCATCAATGGGTGCCATTCAGGCAAGATAAGACAAGCCAACAGATAAAAGCTTACCCTGGCCATCGGTTGTCAACATTCTACGCATTATAGGAAGCAAAGTTGGCTCAACTTGGACAAAAAGATCAGGTAGCCTACTGACTGACTCAAGGATTGTGCTTATTGCGCGCAAACAACCAACTGCTGCTAAAGCACCAGGATCATCAGCTTCGTCATCAGCTTCTGCAGTATTCATGCATCTCCAAAATGCAGCTGCCTGAACATAAAGGTATAACGTCAGTCTCAGTCAGACACAAATGTCCAACAATATAGCATCTAATCAGAACTGATGAGTATTACCAAATTCTGGCATAATCCAAGAGCATAAGGTGCCATCTCCTCACCAAATTTGTCCACTATAGTTTCCAAAGTAAAGACCAGGTCCTCATTCTCTACCTCATTCATCAGTTTGAAGAACTCTGGATGGGAGGAAGAAAAAGAAATAAGCTACATCAACATTTTTAGAACCTCTTTAGCAAAGGCTAATTGGTCTATGCTATTAATAACCTGTAGAGTTAAAGAAAGGGAAAAAAAATGCAGTGAAAAAAAAAAGAGAGATCTGTGAACATAGAGAGGGTCAGCTCTATTTAACTGACTTCAGAAATTAATGTTACAAACCAAAATGAACCGTCAATAACATGAGTATAACTGCGTACCATCAAGAAGTTGAGGAAGAATCGGACGGATCTCATTTAAATCTGTGTCATATATATACCCATTTAGATAGATAAATAGATGGAGAAGTATAGGAAGAGCTAGAGTGTGTAGCAGCTTCGTACCTTTGCAGGCTTCAACAAAGCTTCGCAATGCAAAAACTGAGTCAACACGCACAGGAAGCTCTGGATCACGCAACCCAGAAACAACACTGTGCAATGCTTTACGGAAATTGTTCTGGTCTGAGAAGTTAATGTGGGCATATTGTCCTGCGACCCATGCAGCCTGATATCCACACCAAAAAAATAAAAGAAAAGAGTACTCTTAATAAGCTAACATATAGGCTTTGTTATCTGGAAAACCCAATTAACATTAAAGTACTAGAGCCAATAGCAAATAGCTAAAATATACAATGCCAAAGAACAGCAAAATGCATCCAAAGAAAAAACAAAAAACTTAAAGAGCAACAAACCTTTGCTCTAAGGTGGCCAACAGGGCTGCTGAACTCAGGGAAAACATGTTGCACTAACATACGCTCCAGTTCAGATTTGTAAGGGTCAGTTTGTTTCAGCTTATCACAAAGTGCTCCAATAGCAAGTAGTGCACCATCCTTTTGTCGATAGGGTTTGTATTCCATTGGTGCTTCATCATATCTAGGAAAAAGAAAACAGCAATAAGAGCACCATTGAATTACCAAAATATATTTAGATCTATTGCAAAACTCAAAATGAAAAATACCTCTTAAAAATTTCCACAATGAATAGAATGAACTTTTGAAGGTTCTCCTTCCCACGTTTTCTAACCAACTCGCTGACAAAATCCATGGAAGCAGTCCTTGGACTATACAAATCTTCAATGATATCTGCAACAAGGCACATCGTGCATGAATAAACCTACAGATCTATTAAGGAAAAATGTTGAATTTTAAATTTATGGACAAAAAACTGCAGTGGCTATGAAGGGTACACAATTGTTCAAAAAAGTGTTTGGTAAGGAAGGAATTTTTTGCTGTTTTGTCAATTCATGTTGAAAAGCAACAAAATAATAATTCTCCAAAACATTATTCAAAACACTTTTTGGAGAAAAAAAGTACATTTGAAAATCAAGTCTTTTTGTAACCAAATGGTTTAATGCATTTCTATGGCAGGGTGAGCGCCTCCCACAAGTCCAACAATAATGCAGAAGAATCTCAAGTCTTTCAAGCAATGGATCCTGATTTTGATGCTCACCATAACCCTTTCTCACATATTCATGTGGGTCTTCATCCCAGAGCTTTTGATCATTGTCATTGAAGCACATAAGAGGGAAAACTATCTCAAAGAGAAGGACATCCAGTCTTGGCAGCAGTAGATTATACATGCTATTCTTTGAGATACTGCATGTAAGCAAAAATCAGTATCACAACAATAGCCTAAAAAAATGCACCATAGCAACAGTGCAACAAAACACAAAATTAAAAAGGGAAATGCTACTGGGTGCCCTTAGGGCACTCGTTAAGGATCTAGCAATTGGTAGTTCAAATTAAGTCTGAAAAGTGCATCAGTTAGGGTCTTAAGCATTGGATTTGTGATGTGATCAGATGAAAAGTTTAAAATTCAAACTTGTATGATTATTAAAACATTTAACTACCACAAACCAACAATAACTGACCTCTTAACTTGAGCACCCATCAGTCAAACCCAACTAATAATATTGATAAAACTGTGATTAACAACTTGTCACCATACAAGGCATAAAAGTTATGAGTTCTAGAAACCAAGGCACATTCATTTTTCTGTTGAATACGTGCTTGAGTTTCTTTTATCTTGCAATGAAACAAATGATAAACACTTTAGAATTACCATAGTAACCATACTACAACAAAGGGGGAAATAAGAGCATTTCAGTAGAAACATGAGGAAAGAGATACCATCAAAAAGGAGAGTCAAACCCTAGGGAAGGCAATGAGAAAAAAAGTCTCAATCCCAAACTGATTTATTCAACAGCAAAAAGTCTCAAACCAAGTTCGAGGCCCCAAATAGTTTGAAGAAACAAATTACTTTGGAATGCTGCCAATCAAAAGTTTAAAACACTGGAAGATGATATATATGATAATGGGAAGATAGAATGGGAAGTAAAATGTGAACAAACAAGAATATGACAGCAGTATGTGTGAGAAAGCATATTGCACAAACCTGTTACTTAGGTACTGAAGAATTAGGTTGATAACTCTGTCAGGTAAATAGCCACCAGAACGAATCACATTCAATATATTCAAGTGGCACTCCAAAATCTTCCCAGCAAAATTCTTTTGAAACATCTGGGCAAAAGCTTTGTTTTCTGGGTTTTGAAGTTTCAAATCTCCAAACCTACAAGTGTTTTAAATCACCAAGACACTATAAACGACATGCTCCTCCCAACTACTTTAAACTTATTCCAAAAATCAAAACATTACCGAGTATATAGCCTGTTCAAGATGTGAACTGTCCATTTCTTCACCTTCCACCATCCCCATGACTTCCTAAGCTCAGGGTCCACAGGCTGGCCATCTACGGGAACAGGCCTCTCCAAAACATTTAAGAAAAGAACCATCCAAGCATTGAAGACATTTGGATCAAATAGCTGCTTCGGAATCTCCAACTGGTGATCAGTGACCATAAAATTAAAAGTTGTAAATCATAACAACAAAAATATAAGCTGTGTCCCAAGGACTTCTCTATGAAAACAAACTACATACAGAAATGTGATTTTCCTAGTTCAAACAAGTAATGTATGTATCATTGACAGCACCCCAACCTCCTAATGTCTTGATGCCAGAACTAGAAATTATATAGGATCAAAAACATGACTTTATTCCTAGACCAGAGTAGAAAAGTATTGCACGAGCTTTAAGTGGTAGGTAAGACCAAATAAATATGATGGAAACTTAAAAATTTTCAGATGCATGCTGTTTTTGTACACTAATATCCATATTACGTCTACTCCTCCTAGCACAGCATTAGGTTGTTGAAGTATATTTTGAATGAGTAGAAATTACAACACGTACAAGACTGCTGTAAACATCAAAGGAGAGCAAAATTCGGAATTTTCATAAGCTGAACCGAAGGATAAACATGGAGGGGATCTCAGTATGGTTTACAGAATATCTCAAAATGAGCAAAATGCAAGTCAATTGTCAAAAAAAAAAAAAAAAAAAAAAAAAAAAAAAAAACATGTGAAACATCACTCCTAAAGGCACATTGGAATATGCTCACCATGATAGCTATACATTAATCGGGGAATCCCTAAAACAGAATTTACATAAGTGCGTTATTGAACTGCCATTTCAGAACTTACATATATAGATGACCAGAATATTTTACAAATAAGTTTGATCAAATCTGCTACTTCCAGAGAAGGATTTGGAATCTGGACAAGCTTGTTGAATATGTTGAGAAGATGAGAGAATGTCTCCTCAACAATGCGATAAACAGGTGTCCTCTCCTCATCCGACTTGAACCTATGAAAACAAGTTCTGGTAATATTAGAATGGATGTTTATTTCATTATCTCTCAGATAAGAAGGTGAACAAGGATTTTGACATAATATTTATTGCAAATGGAATTCCACCAATCAGACAATTTATTGCGCTTTGCAACAAAATCAGAATTAACATGTTCATTGCATGGAAGAATAAGATGGGTGCGAAAGCAGTCTTACAGAAACAAACCCTAAATTTCCAATCCTTAAGTCTACTCAGTACAACCGCTCGCTCAAAGCATCCGTAGACATTGGTGTTTTGTTGCAAGTCCTTCAGACTGGAAATATCCAAAGCAAGGACTGAAAAACAGAGTCCCAAGACTCTCATACCACCATTTATTGTCCAGCAAAGGTTCCTTTTAATGATTATAAGCAGCATTACTGATGAAATAAGGGAAAACCAAACCACACAGTATAACTAACTAACAAACACAGGCATGTGGGCCAATTATATTGCCAGCCAAGACATGACCATGGTGGTTTTTTTTTTTTTTTTTTTTTGACATGCAAAGATAGGCAAAAAAATTTGCATAAACATGTCTCATCGGCACTACAGGCCCATTGTTCAAAACTAGGTCATTATATCAAGCTCAAATGCCATATGCAAGTTATTTAGGTCTTTCCTATCTTTAGTGGGACAGTGATCCTAACATCAATGGTTAAATATTTATGAAATGAAGAAAGAGAACCACAAGCACGTTCAGAACTTGGGAAAAAGTCAAAAAACTTAGTGATTGGCATATTATCTTGGAAGCAAATCAAAATATCAACAATTAGCACGTCCTTACTCATATTTTCTAGAAAGAATCCTCAACACAAAGAGAGCTCCATAAACTTGCTGATCTTGTAAGTTGTGCTTAATCCAATCCAGAAGGTGCGGCCACTGCTCAGGGTAATCAGCATGGATCATTGTTTTAAGGCACTCACCCAACTGTAACCTATACATCATGACATGACGTTTAATGTTAGAGGAAGCATAATCAGAAAAGTCTCTATAGTAGTCGACTAAGTTCCAACACACATTCTACAAACAAAACCAAATTATGGAAAATTAAAAAAAAAAAATCATACTTATCCAACAAAACACAACTCAAAAGTAAGAGATTGCAACTCATGAGTGAGAGAAAATTCCCAATAAATAAAACTCAGAAGCATCAATGCAACAGTAGAAATCAAGCAATTATACCTCAACAAAGGTGGAACTTGCACAAGAAACACTAGGATATGATCCCTCACCATAGCTTTATCACTAGGTGAGATCTTCGGTTGCTCATCTACAGCAATTAATAACAAAACCAAAGCAATAACAATCATCAGTTAACCAAAAACAACAAGCAGCTTGACACTGTTGGTATAATTAACAGAAAAGAATAGCATACCAGGCTCATGGGGGGCCCAGTTCTTAGCAATGAAGTTCTTGAAGTGAATACTAGCTACTTGGCGCACAGCCATGTCGCAATTATTGTCCACAATAATCTGCAGCAACCTCACAAGATGCTGGGGGGTGTACTGAAACTGTAGTAGAAACACAAAAAATCAATCAAAATCTTCAACTATAACTGAATTGATTGTAACAAAACTAATCAAGAAACACTAGAATTGATTGACTACTCAATCTTGGACCTGATCGAGTCTTTGCTCAGCGGCTTTGCGTTCATCGGGATTGGGGCTAAGAGCGGCTTGTAGGACAATAGCGAGGCTAGGGAGATCCATGTTATTATTGTGATAATCCAACTGATCAAACGATGGAAATTGATCGATCCTGAAGACTTTTTTTCTTTTTTGGTTAAGTCTAAACCCTAGCTGGAGGATAGGTCGTCTTGTTCCTCTTCAACTAGGGTTTAGTCTGGGGAGGGAGAGAAAAGGAAATAGTTGTGGGAATGCAGAGAAGGAAGGAGATAGTGTGCGTGCGTGTTTGGGTTGCAGAGAGAGACAGGTGATGAATGCTATATTTAAATTATTAGGGTTTACGGTTGTTTAACTATAAGAAATAATGACATACGTCGACTCCTTTCTTTTACTATTTATTTATTTATTATTAGCATAGTAAAAAATAATGGTAAAAAAAGTAGAAAGAAATACTTTACCATAATATTGATCGTTAAGCACATGAACTGAACAAAATGGTTAAGATTTAGAAGGAAAAAAAAAACGGTTATGGCTATGGTTTTTATAATGATCAAACAGCAACCAAACTAAGAGAAAAATATAAATTTTTATTTAAGTATTAAAAAATAATCATTATATCGTTGATTCAGTGTAATTAGTTATTAATTTCATGATTTAAAAAGGCTTACTTTTAAACTTCTAACATGATACTAAGATTTTTTTTATGTTGGAATAACTTATATGGTTGGTGTCAATATAAATTAATAATTCATGTAGTTTAAGAATATTTTTTGCGTACAAAATTTCATTGTTATTATATTTTATATTATTTGTCTATATAATTTTTTTCTAAATTAGAACAAATAATTAAGATTAATGGAATCGATGATTGATAATTATGGTTGTAATTATAAGTAAAATTGTAATTATCATCACCCTCAAATTAAAGTTTGTCCACGCTATTAATCTTTCCATCCATCTTCGTCTTACCTAAAATTACTTATCCGTAAATTACCCACTTGGTAGGTGCCTGTTGGTTTTGTGGGCTATGTTCAGTTATTTCCTCCTCTCTCACATACATTTTCCACTTATTTCCTAATTTTCGAAAATGTTAGTAATTTTTTTGTGAGAATATCTTTATATTACAATAGTTAAAAATAAAAATAAAATTTCAAAAAATAAAAAACATGAAATCAGACCCAACTCCTAAATTATAGCCTACAATTCCTAATCATAAGTACCAAAACCCCAACCCGTTAATAGCATCTCACCATCATCACTTTCTTTAGTAACTACAGAAGTTGCCCAAATGGGGTTGATTTTCATTTTCAATCTGATTTTTTTTTTACCGACATAATCGTTAGTGGCTATTCCGGTTTATTTGGTCGGAAAAGTTTTATGATTTTTTGGATTCATTAAATACAGGCTCACTCGTATAAAATTCCTCGTGAAAATGTTTTGCAAATTGAAGAGTGGCATTTTAAGCTTCTCCTAAGGTCCGGCTCGATAAAGCAAAGCGCGTTTTCTACCAGTGAGTGAGCAAGTGGATACAGAAAATGAGAAGCTAAAAATGGCACTCCCCAATTTCCAAAACTATTTAACACTATCGGGAACATGGAAATTCTTCAACAACAACAACAAAACCGTAGTAACCACCCCTCTTTATCTCTGCTTTCGCCACCCAACAGTCTATGCCATCTCCCAGGGCCAAGACTACTCTACAAACACACAACACTTCTTGTTGAGTGCTTTCATGAACACAAGAGGCTCCAGTCCTTGATTCACAACCTCAAAAGCAACCACAACAACCCTTTGCAACTGCGTGACCAGGATGGAGATTGGTCCGAAGATCGCTTCTGGGCTGTCATCAAATTCCTTAAACTCTCTGCAAGATCCAATCGGGTTCTTAAGGTACTCTCTGAAAATCGAATTTGTTTTTCCTCTTTCTGTTGTGTTATGTTTGGACAGGGGTTTCATATGTGGAGGGGCATGGAGAAAACAAGAATTAATGAATTCAATTATGAAGATAATAGGGTTGTTAGGCGAAGAGAGTCTAATGGAAGATGCAGTTGCTGCATTTATGGAAATGAAAAGGTTTCTGTCTCCGCCTTTCCTTAAAAGTTTGCAATTCAATAATTCATGGTCATGCAAGAAATGGCAAGTTTGATGATGCTTTGTTTTACCTTAATCGGATGAAAGAAATGAATTTGCGTCCCGAAAGTTGTACTTATGATGGCTTGATCGAAGCTTATGGGAAGTATAGAATGTATGATGAGATGGGTATGTGCATGAAGAAGATGGAGCTGGATGTGTGTTCACCTGATCGCTATATTTATCATTTGCTTATCCAAGAGGTTGCACAATTTGGGTTGCTGACAAGAATGGAACGGGTATATCAGTCTACGCGAACCAAAAGGATGAAGTTGCAGTCTTCGACTTTGATTTCGATGCTTGAGGCATATGCAAATTTCGGGATTGTGAAGAAGATGCAGAAGATTTTAAGATGAGCATGGAACTCAAAAGTTCCAGTAAAGGAGGATTTGACTAGGAAATTAGCTGGGGCTTATATTGCAAAACACATGTTTTCCAGATTACATGACTTGGCTGTTGATCTTACTTCTAGAATTGGTCAGACCGATATTGTTTGGTGCCTACACCTCCTTTCCCATGCTTGTCCTTCGAGTCGAAGAGGCATGGATGCTGTTGTTAGGGAGATGGATGATGCAAAGGTTTGCTGGAATGTAACCGTTGCAAACATTATCTTGATAGCATATTTGAAGATGAAAGATTTCACCCGCTTGAGGATCTTGCTCTCTAACTCACCAGAACGTTGTGTTGACTTTTGGAATTCTTTTTGGTGCAGAAGAAATTGGTTTTGATTGAAAAGGGAGTTTAGAAACTTGGAGAAAGATGGGTCTTCTTTATAGATGTGTGGAAATGAACACTGATCCTCTGGCTCGGTGGCTCTCTCTGCTTTTGGTAAGGGAGGTTCTTCAGGAGCTGTGAAGAGGCTTGCTCTTCCCTTGAACCTAATGCTAGAGAAAAGAAAAGGTGGACTTATGTCCATTTCATAAGTTTAGTGACTAAAGCAAAGTACAGTGAAATACAGCTTCAAATTCATGCACGTTGAATAAAACGGAGAATCAAGATTTGCGAGCCCGTCAAGATTACATTGATCAGATCATCAGTCTCTGTTCAAAAGCGAACGCATCACTTTGATCTATGTATAGAAAGCATGATGTAGAAAGCTGTACTTGTATTATTTGGTGCCAGAAAGGCCTTATGGTTTTCTGCATGAAACAATGCCTATTTGCTTGATTTTCCACTGCTTTCGTCATTACTGGCTGCCTATCCATGCCATGCGAGTGTAAATTCGGTCCATTTTTTGTGCAAACATTTTCACTTAAAGACGGGAAAACTGGTGATGATCTCCTATTACAGAGTACAGAGCTAGCTTCCATTGGAAGAGGAGCATTTGCCAGGTTAACAGACCCCCTAGAGTTGCATTCTTTATAGGGGGGTCAATTTCTTGAATGTGAATTGAACAGTCTCGACAGCAGAAATAAAATTATTGTGAATTGGAGCCATCTCTGACAGAACAGTGATGAGACATTGGAGTTTTTTTTTTACCTCTTTGTAACAAGACGCCATTTCCTCCAACTCCTCATCAACAACTATTATTGTTAGAAGTCCCCACTCGAAGAAGTGTGAATGAGAATTCTATAAATTTGCTTCATGTTTTCCCCTTCACTGTAACTTTAATTTTGTCAGAAGTTTACGCTTGATCGCTAGGGGAACTGTGAATCTCAATCATCAATACATGCCAATATTTCCTTCATATGATTACTTTAATACAAGCATCGATACAGTTTAGCCAGTCACGAGACACGGTACAAGAAGGAAGCAGCGAATCTCAATCTTCAATACAATTTTTCGAGTGATATACTAATTTGGGAATCAGACTCAATATTGTGAGCTGGGACTTGTAAAAGATTCCCTACCACCTGTTGGTGAAAGCAAACATATTTATACAATTATACCATTCGAGTTCATTAATGATGCAGACTAGGTGAGTCATATGACACCAAGAGCTTGCTATACATTGCTCTAAGAAGATCGATTAGATATAGCTATACAAATACTTGTTCGACTGGTTCATATCTAACAACTTATGTAAGACTTTCTATGCATTTCAGTTTTGTATGTATTGGTGAAGCAGGTAAAGGTTACCTGAATATTCGATGCCAGGACCGTTGATATATGGCCATTACGTATCATCCTCCACTATCGAAGTTTTGAAAAACATTTCAATTTCTTCTAACAATCTCTGTGAACTTTGTAGACCTCCACAATCCACATCTAGAGACGTTGCAGATGACATCACACGAATGAGATACTCACAAACTTCTCCCAGATCATCTTTGATGATACTCCTCTTCTGTATCTGCTCATCTGTGCAGTCATTTTGAGAATCTTCTGAGTACACATGTTTCCTGCATTCCTGCAAAAACAAGAAAGCCAAAACTATGGAATTAGATACTGTGCATTTTCTTCCACTTGTTGCAGTGGTCATGTTTCCCTTAATTGAACATAATCAGTAGTACCATCTCTTACCACTACGGAACTATTGCAGACTGAAAAATATCATGCCTAATCATTGTTCTTCAAATATTATTAGCCATAATTGGGAAAAATAATTGCTTCACTTTTACTCTAATACATATCACTGGAGCCCTTTATGGCAGCCTAAGGAAAACCAAGGGAACAGAAGAGTTGATACCTGAAGTATCCGATTTAAAGCAGCAATTTGCTCATCCTTTAAGAACTTGGAGTTTAGTAGCTCTCGAAATAAATGCACCATCTCAGCGCTAATATTGCTGGCTTCAAGGTTTTTAATGATTCCAGAAATGCAAGGATCATCAAACACGGTGCTCATCCACTCAGGAGATTTTTGAAGCTTTAGCAATGCAACAGCTATATGTACAGCAGGCTTGTGATGATTAATGAAAGATTTTGAAGCTAACGATGGAGCTGCCAAAGATATTGCCAGCTCTTCTACTATCAGCCTCAACCAAGTATCCTTTGGAATAACTCTTGCCTCTTTCATGTCCATCTGATCCCATCCTAAAATCATTGATAGGCAGAGGCTGCAGTTTGTAGACACTCTGATGTCACTGTTAAATACTTGTCCTTTTAATATCACCATAATGGACATTAAATAACCCATGGAGATTTTTAATTCCTCATGTTTTGTGTTTCTTTGTTCTGATAATCTTGTGACGACCTCTAACAGGCAATATGAAGCTACAAACTTGATTGGAGGAGACCCAAAATGCAACAGCCTGCACAAGTCATCCCAGTGGATGCTGATCATGGAAAGTGGCTGCATCCTATTTGAAGGATTGAATAAGTTATGCCAGTCCATAGTCCCAGGGAGAACAGCATGTATGCTGAAACAAAAGGAAGTTAGAATCACAGCGGGCAATCTTTAAGTCATACTTGATAGAGTAGTTACCTTCTTAAAGAGAAATAGAAAAGTAAAAGTGCGAATATCAGATTTTCTCCAGTGCTTGTTTCCTCATCATAATCAAGCAAAGCAGGTCCTTTTGAACAGGCTTCATGGATCATGTTGTTGATCATAGACGCCAGAGAAGTACTGAAAAATATAGTTTTTGAAGCTTCTAAAAGTACTTTGGCGGTGGATTGGTGCAAAATCAAGGTAAAAATGGCAACTACTCGTAGCCCTCCATCAGACCAACATTTCACACTCACTGTGGGGATGAGGCTGTCCATCAACTACAAAACAAGCTAAGAACCCAATTAGTTCCCTGGAATTGTAAGCATACTTAAATGAGGCTAAGTTGAGATAGCACCTTCACAGTCACTGCAAGCCAAGCTTCATCATCGCACAGTGCTTCAGGATGCACTGATCGCAGAATATTAAACATTAAATATGTCATGGCCATGGATAACTGTGAGGAAGAACAATGACTTGAATTGTGATAAAGAGTTCTAATTGCTTTGGCTATGCCATGCAAACATAGTTGGTCGGATGCTGATGGCGAGATGTTAGTGACCATTGCTATGAGATTTACTACTAACAGAATGTCATGCTCATGGCTTTCCTCCTCTACAAGCTGTATCAATAAACATACTAAAAGTCTCGCCACATAATTATCTGTTGATGATGCCATCTCTGCGATCAATTGCAAGTTCATAATTTGACTATTTTCCCTATTGACAATGATCTGGGTTCCGTTTGAGCTATTGCCTCGGCAGAATTTAAGGATTTGGTAGGATAATGGCTTGCTGATCTTCTCTTGTTGAAACAACCATTTCAGTGACCCCAGGTGAATTTTTGAAGAAGGCAAATCCCATTCAGTTTCTTTCAGGAGATGAAAAAAGATCCTCTCTGCTTCAGGACTGTAGGGAATTTGGTAGTTCATCTTGGCAACACCACGATATAGGCCATAAAGATTTACCAATGGCATCATTGTCCACGTATCAATGACCCCACATAAGAAATCACCGCTGTTAACAAGAATGTACTGTTCCAGAGAAGCTAACATGGACTTCTCATCTGCAAGCCTGAGGAATAAGATACCAAAAACACAAAGACAGATGGGTAATAAATGAAATATAACAGTGAAGTGGTTACGCACTGCATATTGAAAGCGAATAGAACTACTGGAGATGAGGGATCGGGAGCTCAATTACCTATCATCATATAAAGAGCTCGTATACAAAATCAACAAAACTGCACATTGACATGAAGTCAGCAATGTATTTTTGGAGCTCTTCTGCCCAAGAAGAAAAAGCAAATCAATAGGATCTGTAGGAAGATTTGAAGCGGTCTCTCTAATCGGTTGCCCAACATCATTTCCCAGAAGAATCTCTACAAGTGAACTGAGCATTTGATATACCCTCCATTTCATCTCTTCTGTCGGAAATAGTCCTAGACATTCAAATGAAAAACTGAACCAAGAGGATGAAACCAGTATTTTTGCAAATTGTGGGGTTTGCATATCAAAATTCTGGAGCAGTATGAAGTGAAAAGTTTCCAATATACCAAGGACGATGTCCTCATCCACTTCATTAATAGCCGTCACAATCCAAGGTAATAAGTGTGACGTGCATATATCTACAACACAGCTTCGCAGTTCCATGATACTGGAGTCATTTATGGATACCTCTTCAGGGCTATAGCCATATGCCTCTTTAAGAAGGTATAAAGCATGCAAAAATTGATTGCGATCTTTCTCAGAGATACTTAGACAAGCCACAATAGCATGAGTTATTGTTTCTTGAAGTGATGTTACCAGATTAGAAGTCCCATTGAAAGATGGAGACTTCAGAAGAGGTACAAAAATTGAGCACGCCATTATGAATGTCTCCGCAGGCATACCCATATCCCCATCATTATGCCCCTTAAACATCCTTGTCAAAGCAAGAACTAGCTCCTCAATTTGGGAAACCGATCCTATTCCAGGGCAATCAGAAATGCCTTTCCACACGAGTGTCAGTGTCTGATGTTGAACAGGATGAAAAGGAACTTCAGCAACATAACGCAGTACTGGAATCAAAGTTGAGAATCCAACAACAAGCCTTTCTGTGAAGCCTTTCTCAGCAATTGACAAAAGATTAAGAACCATAAGGCAAGAGTTGACAACTGGATCTTTACATTCTGTCCATTGATAGAAGAAATTCATTAGCTCGGTAACTCTAGTTTGCAAAGAACTTAACATTTGACATTAAAAAGAGAAACATGGCCCTGAGGAATAATTCTTTGTCATGTTAGCTTGACTGAAGCTATTGGACCATGCCAGAAAGAGAACAAAAATATAGGTAAAGAGAAGATTAAGCACACACTTGAAAAAAATATATTCTGAAAATCAAGTTCTTCTAGCAATCACAATGAACTCAAGTTGTAACACATGATTTTTATTTCCAATAAAGTGAGTTTACTGATACCCACCTGACAGCCTCAGTATTTCAAATACGTAGTCCGCAATGTTTTCGTCCACCAAAAGTTGAATCTGTTTGGCCGAAACACAACTTTCGCATGACAAATAGTGAAAAATGAGATCTAGAGTGTTGGTTTGAATTTGCCTATCTGATGAAAGCAAAGGTCCTTTAATAGCCTCAGCAAACAAGACATTCAGAGGAGTTTCATCAGCTTCGTCTTCTGTTGTCTGCATGAAGCTATCAGCATCGTTGGAACTGATGCTGCTAATGCCATTTGTATATGCGCTCTCGAAACACCCTTTTCGAGCAAGAACTATCAAAAGCGCTGAACGAGAAGATTTTATTAATTTATAGAAGATAACAATAACAAAAAGATCAATCTGAAAACTCAGTCACAAACCTAGGCAATTGAAGCGGACCGTATCGTTGTGCGTCTTCAAGAGGGCCTCCAATGACAGATTCAAGAGCTTAGGACAGTAAGCTAAGAGAGAATCAGTTCCATCATCACTACCCACACATTGGATGACACAAAGTTTGTATAATACAAACAGAATCTCTCCCCTCATTTCCTCGCTGTGTAAAATTCAAGTAAAATATAAATTAATGTTTGAAACTTGTTTTGTTAGAAAAGAAATAACATACCGTACCATACCTTGGCAATTGAAGAGCAGTAACAAGATTGGATAAAAGAGCATCTTCGTCTCTGATATGAACATAAGGATTGCTGCTGCTTGTTTCACAGTTCAAGAGCAAAATTCCAAAGCAGTGAAGCTGCAGTTTCGCTTGGTTATTGATTAAATTATTTTTTTTAAAAAAAGGAAGAATTGAATAAGAATGGGAGATCAATTAATTATTTAGAATAGTAATACCAGATAAACTTGATTCAGGGTCCATGCCAAGGCAGCAGAGGAGGAGATGTGATCGGCAAGTCTGGTAACAAACTCACCGCAAATCGAAGAGGAAGAGTTAGAGAGAGTGGTGATTAGAGAGACGAGGTGGCGAGCGATTGAATCATCGTTGAAGAGAGAGAGGGAGCGAAGGAGAGGGGAGATAAGGAAGTGGGGATGGAAAGAGAGGAGAGAATGGAGGAATTGAGGCTGAGAGAGAGCAAAGGAGAGTTGGGAGAGAGCATAGGAGACGTGAAAAGTGGGAGCGTTAGGGTTGGTTATGAGGTTAGAGAAGCAGTGAAGGCAGATTGAGCCTCCTCCTCCGCCGCCTCCTCCTCGTTCTGTTTGGAGACAGAGGGTGGATCTGTGACCTTGTGAGCAGCATTGCTGTATTAGAGGATGTGAAGGTGGAGCTGGAGCTGGTGATTGTATTTCTTCTTCTTCTATGGGGTCGAGATCGTCGTAGGGATCTTGTGAATCGGCGAACAACATGGTGCGGAGAGAGATCAGAGAGGAGACGTTAGTGACTCAATTTCAAATTTGAGCGCCAGGTGAATAAATTAATCAAATTTTGGAATTTCTTTTTTATGTTTTTTGTTTCGAGTGGAAGGCAGTTGCAATGTCATCCCTAAAGTTTTGACATATTTTAAGATTACATCCTTAAACTCTGTTTGGGAACAAATTGAGGGAGGAAACAAAGGTGAGGTAAAGTAAAAGGGGAGTACCTAAACTATACTTATATTAAGAGAGAGAGAGAGAGAGATAAAGGCTTTTAAAGCCTTAAAGTCATGTTAAAGGGACCGAGTATAAAAGCCAATACTTTTTGGCTTTTGTATTGAGATTGGCAGACACAAAACAAGACCAAAAAGAAAAAGAAAAAGAAAAAGAAGAGAGAGAGTTTGGCCAACAATTTGAAAGCGAAAGGCAAGGTATATTGCTTTATATATATATATATATATATATATTGCCTAGGTTGCATGATAACTCGGGATTTGAATACAAGTTGGTGAATTTATAGAAATTGGAATATAAATTTTCATTTTTACTAATTATTTGGAAGTTCTAAAAACAATTGTTTTCTTTATTATAGTATTAGTTTGTTGTATGTCTTATGGGCAGCACATTGTAAAAAGTAATGAATAACAAAATTATTGTACGAATTGCAATGTTAATGTTTTTATTTAAAATTCAAAGTTTTTGTGTAGATTTCTTAAACACGAGGTGTAAAAGTTTCAAACACAAAAGGCATTATATCATACTTTTTTCTAAATTTCATTGGTTATTAATATCTTCTAATATAACAAAATTACACAAGCTATAGCAGGCTTAACGCTCGAGCAATACTTTTTTTTAAAAAAAAACTATTAAAATCATGTTCAAAATTATCACGGGTACAAGACTTTAATGCACAGCAACTACTATCGTTTTTTTTTTTTCACTTTTTACATGTACTTATTAATTAATTATTTTCAAAATATTCTTTTTCCAAAAAAAGATAAATTATCTTCGATACACTTTTAGCATTTAGATTAATACATTTTTGAAATCATAATACTCTCTTTAAAAATTATAAGAATCGATCATTTAAATTATATTGATTTATGTATGAAAAAAGAGAAAATATCATATTCAAAAAAGTATATTCTTAAATCTAAACATAGAGAAAAAAATAAGATATTTTTTAAAAAATAAAATTTTCTAAAAAAAACAATGAAAAAAATTAATTAGATGAGAATTTTTATAAAAAATAACAAATTAAAATAATAATATAATTTAAAATACTTGTTAGGGATAAAATTTGAAAATATATCATAAATATTTATTTCCTGCAAAATTGTTTGAAAATCTAAAAACATAATGACAATTTTCGCATGACTTTAACACAAAACTGAATAATAAAACAATTAAAATTAAATTAGAAAAAAAAATGCAATCTAGGCCAGCCCGTAGGCCGAAAGAGCCAAACCTGGGCCCCGATAGGTTGGACATGCGCCAGCTAACCTTTTATTAAAAATAAAAATAATAATAATAATGGGAGAAATCGACAGGTCGCCTGCATCATGCACAGTGGATTACGTGTAGTTCGCCCTGTAACTTTCCGATAATAAAAATTTGTTGGAAAATCGAGGCCACCAAGTTTTAGCCTTTCCAGCCCAAATGTACCACCATTTTTACCCAAAACACCTCAAAAGTCAAACCAAATAAATAACTCATCTGAAACAAACTCATTTGTAACCTTAATAAAGTCTTCTCATTGCATCTAAAAACACAAAAACAAAATAAAAAAAAATTAAAATACATCTTGGGATCTTTATCTATTTTCTCTTATCATTTAATGGTTCCATATCACCATAAATAAATTCTTCTCATTAAAATAAATAATTTAAAACCATAATAGAGATTATGATAGCCATGATAGATATTATTACAACTTTATCCATCTTTCTCTCTCTCTCTCTTCCTTTTTCTCTTATAATTTTATTTAAGGCTAATTCATGCTACAAATGAAATTAAGAATTGAAATAAAAAAATTTATAAAATTAGAAATGTAAGTATAATATTTTCCAAATATGAAATCTTAAATGTAACAAGAAAGCTTCAAAATGATAAAAATATTATATTTAATGGGATATAAATAAATATAGGTAAATCGTAGAATGTTTATGGATGAACAATAAGTTATTATTCATATGAACATTAAACACCTCAAATCTCTTAATTTTATAATTAATTATCAATTGTTAATGTTTTTGTATTCAACACTCCATTTAAATATTAGTTCCTTTAATTTTGTTGTGTTGAATTTTGGTATGAATTTGGGTGATGAAACTATTCTTATTGTGAAAATAAAATAAAATAAAATAATAATAAACAGAACCTAATCTAAATGCGAATGTGGGAAATAATAATTGTGTTTTCATGCACTAACCAACACGGGTCATGAAAATCGATGTATCTGCATTATCCACGCCACCCGACCTGACTCCGTGACTCGACCCGCAAATTGGAGACAACGAGATATTACTGGCATGGGGCAATGGGTCGGATGTAAGAAAACAAACGAATAGAAATTTAGGGTCGTTGTCGGGTCAAAGTTTAAGAAACCAGAAAACCGACCCGAGCCGCATGTTCCTTGATATAAATGCTATCCTAACCAAACCCTACTTCTTCCCTAACCCTTCAGCCGCCCCTCAGCTCTCTAAACATAGTGATCGGTTTGGATACCTGTATTTAAAAAGAACCGACCCGGTTATATAGACCAAAACAAACAAACAATTTCATTCTTGCTTTGCTTCAAAATCTGAAACCCTATTAATTTCCATCCGTTTCTGTCTGTTGTCTGCTGTCTGCCGTCTGAGATCAGATAGATGGAGGAAGGTTTTGAGTACCCAACTGGAAGCAACAACATGGGATTAGAAGATGAAATGGACATGGGTATGCCGGACCTAGAGGAAGATGTTATCAAGGTCGGTGAAGAGAAGGAGATTGGCAAAAATGGGCTGAAAAAGAAGCTTGTTAAGGAAGGTGAAGGATGGGAGACCCCCAGTATTGGTGATGAGGTTGAAGGTACCTACCTAGCTACTGCCGATTAATTGATGGATTTGTTATTTGATTATATACGTAGTAGTAACTCTTTTGCTTGATTTGCAGTGCACTACACTGGAACTTTACTTGATGGAACCCAGTTTGATTCAAGCCGTGAAAGAGGGACTCCATTTAAGTTCAAGCTTGGCCAAGGTATTCGACTGATTAATCACTGCAATATGCTATTTACTTCTCTGTTTTTATTTTTTATTTTTCTTCCATGGATCAATTGGTTGATTTCTTTGATTAATGTATCTCCTGTCTGCCTGTTATGTTAAGTTTGTAGTCCAGTGTAGAATTTCTGTCGATTTCCGTTTTGAAGCGACAGGAATATTTTTTAATTTTTTTTTCTCTGTAAAGGAGGATTTTTAATGGGATTTAGGTATTTATCATGTTTGATATCAATAAAAAAATTTCCTTCTTTGTTCCTTTTTCCTTTCTCCAAAATGCTCCCGAAATGAATCCTTGCAATGCGTTGGAAGTTAATACGCTAATAAGTTTCACCTCAAGAAAGGATGCTAGGAACTTTTAGGATCAATGCGGGAAAGGTTTGGACAGCATTAAATATTTTGCTATGGTGGAATTATATAAATCTTGATGGTTTAGCTTACTTCTGGTGCCAGAGTGCTAGAATGACTGGTCCGTGTTGTTGGAGATTATTATCTTTAACAACAATTAGGATAAATGATATAATTTTGCTTTTGTTCATGTTTTCTATTTTATTAAATTTATTGCTTGCCTTGTGCTGTTTTATAGAATGACTGTGTTCATCTCAGGGCAAGTAATTAAGGGATGGGATGAGGGCATCAAGACTATGAAAAAGGGTGAGAATGCTGTTTTCACTATTCCTCCAGAGTTGGCCTATGGTGAATCTGGATCATCCCCAACTATTCCTCCCAATGCTACTCTTCAGTTCGATGTGGAGTTGCTATCTTGGACAAGTGTGAAAGACATATGCAAAGATGGAGGAATCTTTAAGAAAATTATTGTTGAGGGAGAAAAATGGGATAATCCCAAAGATCTTGATGAAGTATTTGGTATGCTAATTACTTGCCGGCACTCTTATGTCTGTAAAGCGTGGTGGGTTTTTTCATTGTTTCCTTATGATATTTTATGGTTTATTGCAGTTAAGTATGAAGCGCGGCTTGAAGATGGCACAGTTGTCTCAAAGTCTGATGGAGTTGAATTCATTGTTGGAGATGGTTTGTCTCCTCGCTCAGTAGGATCTTTTTAATTTGTTACACTGAACTGATTTTATTCTTGCAGAAAGTTTATTTTCATATCTCCTTGTGTAGGCTATTTCTGTCCTGCCTTGGCAAAAGCTGTGAAAACAATGAAAAAAGGGGAGAAAGTGTTACTGACGGTGAAACCACAATGTAAGCTCAATCACTTTTTTGATTTGTCATTCAGTTGGATGCTATGATAAATATTAAAGGTCTGTTTCTTTTTGCAGATGGGTTTGGAGAGAACGGCAGGCCAGCATTAGGTGATGAAGGTGCCGTTCCTCCAAATGCTACGCTTGCGATAATGCTTGAGCTGCTTTCCTGGAAGACTGTGTCTGATGTTACCGAGGACAAGAAGGTCATGAAAAAGATCCTGAAGGAGGGAGACGGTTATGAACGACCAAATGATGGGACTGTTGTCCAAGGTAATAACATTTACCATAATATTTTATGACTGAATGGTTGTGGATCAACTTGTTTTTTCTAATATGTATCTTACAATCTTTGTTGTTGTCCCTGATCAGTGAAATTAATTGGGAAGCTGCAAGATGGGACTATATTTATGAAGAAGGGCCATGAGGAGGAGCCACCATTTGAGTTCAAACTAGATGAAGGTAATATAATTTGAATGGCTTTACTTTTTTTGCCTCTACATTTGTGAAGTTTTTTTTAATTTGATAGTCTTTCTCTAATACTAACTGCTATTTGCAATGGCTTCCCATGCAGAGCAAGTCATTGATGGACTAGATAGAGCTGTAAAGACTATGAAGAAAGGAGAACTTGCACTGGTGACAATTCAGCCAGAATATGCTTTCGGCACATCTGAATCTCAACAAGACTTGGCATCTGTTCCTGCCAATGCAACTGTGTACTATGAAGTTGAGATGATCTCTTTCACCAAGGTGGGTGTAGCATATCTGATTTCTTTAATGTGGTTGATTTTCAAAAATTGATGCCTTGGTGGTGATCTAACTAATTGTGAATGGATTGATGCAGGAAAAGGAATCATGGGATATGAATACGCAAGAGAAGATTGAAGCTGCTGGGAAGAAGAAAGAAGAAGGGAATGCATTGTTCAAGGCTGGCAAATATGAAAGAGCCTCGAGAAGATATGAGAAGGTATATGAGAGCAACCAGTTGTTGCTAAGAAAATCACATGTAGGTTGTGTCTGATGGCAATGAAAACATTGACAAAATGTTAATTGATGATGCGACAGGCAGCGAACTTTATCGAGTATGACACATCTTTCACTGACGAGGAGAAGCAGCAATCAAAGGTACTGAAAATTTCCTGCAAGCTAAATAATGCAGCTTGCAAGCTGAAGCTCAAGGACTACAAGGAAGCTGAGAAGCTTTGTACCAAGGTTCCATTCTTTCTCAACATTCACAATAATTTTGATTTTTTGATAATTGTCTGAGGATACATGCTAACTTTTGAAGAGATTTGTTTATGCAGGTGTTGGAACTTGATAGTAAAAATGTGAAAGCCTTGTATAGGAGGGCACAAGCATATATGCAACTAGTTGATTTGGACCTGGCAGAGATGGACATTAAAAAGGCACTTGAGATTGACCCTGACAATAGGTGAGTTACCACTCGAGGTTTACCCTGACAATAGATTGACCCTAACAATAGGGTGCAATTTTTATCTGCAATTGAGGTTATGGTTTATTAGCTGGAAAGTGATCGATCTTGACTTGCTTTTTATTTTATTTTATTTTCCTCTTCTTTTTTTTTCCCCTCATAACAGGGATGTGAAGCTGGAGTACAAAATTCTCAAGGATAAAGTGAGAGAGTACAACAAGAAGGATGCAAAATTTTATAGCAACATATTCGCGAAGATGAGTAAGTCATCAGAGCAAGCACATTGAACTGTAAATCAGCTAACCCTTAATCTATTTAAGTCTGTTGTTATGGCGGCATTGTGCCTGTTGTTGACTGTTTTTCTTGTGTATCGTGGTTGGTATGGAAATGCAGATAGCAGCAAATCAGGATCTAATGCCAATGGCCATAGATAGCAAGGGTTTGCAGCTTCTTGGATGCCCTCCCCTTGATCATGGGTGCGCTTCTTGGTGATAAGTAGTTAATGACAATGACTCGTGGAGTTTCCGCTGGTCAATTGTTAAATTCAGGATACTGAGTCCCAAGTGGGACGCTTATAATAAACTTAGAAACTTTTCCGTAAATCGTCATGCTATGGTGTTTATTGCTTTGTTCATCTTGATATGAATTACTCTTCATTCTAGAACATACATGAGTGCTTGAAACTAAATCCATTCTAATTGGTTAGACAAATTGGAGAGATTTTAGAAAGCAACTATGGCTAATGTACGTATGAATGTTAGTTTAAATCGAAGGGTATCATTAAGAAATTTTCAAAATTTTAGGACCAAAGCATAAGGTCGTGTACATATTTAGAGATTCACTCTGTCCTGCTTTGTGTTCTTCACTTGGACAATTAGAAAATACGTTTTGTTATGTTCTTCAAGTTTCTACTATTAAGTTTTTCTTCATGTTTTTTTTTTTTAATGAAAAACATGTGTTTCTATCTTTTCTTTTAGGTAAAAAAAAAAAAAAAAAAATCATTTTATTATCTATATAATTTTCTAAAGTAGTTTTTATTAATATAAGAGTTTGTCTTTTTTTTATATTTTTAAAATCGACAATTCATACTAATCTCTTTTATTGTACTTTCAATTTTTTTTATGTTGATAATAATAATAATAAATGATACCATGTTATTGACAATATCAACTTGCTCGTCCATGTAATCAGTTACATGAAAATATATTAAAATTAATTAAGGTGATATTAAAAGAAAAAAAAATATCATTAGAAGTTACATAAATAATCAAATATGTAACTAAAAATTTATAAATATTTTCTTTTTTTTTCTTTTTTTTTTGGTTTGGACATGTTTTTTTAATTTTTGTTTTTCAAATTCATCAAATGAACACATTTTCTATACTCTACAAAAAGTGAAAAAGGAAAAATGGAAAGAAAATTAGAGATAAAAAATGGAAACTATTCTCTACATCTGAACATCTCCTAAATTGTTCTAAAGTTTGGCTGCCACGTATAGCTTCCACCATTCAACATGGTTCCGCCCATGAACTTATGTGAATTATAGAAATTGATCCTAAACTTTCATAGAATTGAGAATAAGAAGAGTAGAAAAAAGATGTAGCACCAAGAAATGTATCCTAAACTTTATTAAGGCATTCCCAAGTATTATCCTCCATTCCTATATACACAATGGGGTCCTTCCAATTCCAAAAACAATGATGTCTAGAATGCAAGGTCATATCTCTAATCTCTTTTGGAGCAGCAGTGGAGAAAGTAGGCATCTTAATTGGAATGTTATTTCACTACCTGTACAAGAGGGAGGGCTGGCCATTAAAAATCTTAATGAGGTGACGGGAGCTATAAAAGGAAAATTAGCGTTGACATTCCTAACAAGCTCGTCTCTATGGAGCTATTTTATAAGGGTCAAGCATGGAGAGTTTTACATGTCAACTCAGGCTAACGGACGCAAGGGACCGTTAGTATGAAAAACTCTATTACCTCAGATATGTTACTTGCTGTATCACTCCATTTGGAAAGTAGGGGTAGGCAAAATATCCCTTTGGAGAGATAAATGGTCGTTATTGGAATTCCCACAACCAGATGGTAACATGCAAATCACGATTCAACAAGCTAAGTAGGACATGTCCATTTATATGTTACTGCCCCAGCTGATGCGATCAGAGTTCGATAAGGTACAACTTGATGTTAATGAAGAAGATAAGCTGATGTATACTGGAATCAAGTCAGGAAAATTCTCCGCCAAACAATGTCACAAAGAAACAAGGGTCACTGCTCCAAAATTTGAGTGGTGGAGAAGCCTATGGAATGCTTGGATACTAAGAAAAATCAATGTTCTAGTCTAGAAAGTCCTTCACAATGCCATTGTTCTGGAATGTAACAATAAAGCTTGTGGCATTCAACTAGTTTCCAACTGTTAATTCTATTACACTCCAAAAGAAGAAACGGTGTCACACCGCTTCATCCATGGAGAAATAGCAAATGAGGTTTGGCAGTATTTTGGACAGATTCTAAACTCAGGCTCTGAAGCAAATAACATGACACAACTGTCTACATGGTGGCTGATAAAATGAAAACCTCGGACTCATAAGCAGTTTGCCTGCATGATAGTTTTTAACAGCATCATATGGGAGCTTTGGATTGCAAGAAACAGATCAATATTTGAAAACATAACCATGTCTGTACAAGCTATTAAGTGAAAGGTAAGTTTGTGGCTTATTGAACTATCCTCTCTGTTTCATCCATCTACTAGTGGAGGCTTTCATGATAAATTATGCCTTCTGACTTTGGGAATAAAGGAACAACATTTGATACAGAATAGAGGTTGCTGGATTAGGTGGTGTTTCCCTCCATTAGGTAAACTTAAATTAAATACAGATGGTGCTTCTAGGGATAATATTTGTTGTGGGGGAGGTATTTTAAGGGATGAGAGGGGTAATCTCGTTTTGGCCTTTTCTACTTGCTATGGTGTGGGAATTAATACCAAAGGTGAAGCTTTAGCATTACTAGAGGGACTGAAACTTTACACAGAATTTTCCTTCACAGTTGAGACTGTAGAAGTGGATTCGGCCTTGGTTTTGGGTTGCCTATCTGCCACTAGCACATGTACTTGGCAGTTAACATATATCATGAGGCAATGTAAGGAATTCATTCATCAAGACACGATTCTCCAGCACATTTACAGAGCAGGTAACATGGCGGCAAATAGACTAGTTGATTGAGCTTTTCAACATTCTTCTTCTAAATTAATGTTCTCAATTATGGATTTGCCTGCTTCCTGTAAAGCTACAATTTCAAATGACAAATTGGGCCTCCATAATTATCGACCTAAGAAGGATGATTCAGTTGATGTTCTTTTTCATTAGGTTGAGTAGGTATTTTTATATGTTTTTAGATAGTTAGTTTTTTGGGAACTTTTCTGAAATTTTACAGGAGTTTAGGTTTCTTTGTTCTTCCAAACTGTTAGACTAGGCTAATTTATCTCTTTCTTATATCTTTTCACGTTATGTAATATATCGACCAGGGTATTGTTTCTGTTTCCTACAAAATAATAATAATAATAATAATAATAATAATAGCGGTCAGAAATGAAATATGGAACTTGAATACTATCAAGAAAATTTTGGTTCTCATTTTTTTTATTTTTTTATTGAAAAGAATACTTTCATTACTCAAGAAAAAAAAAAGCACGCGCTGGGGTGGAAGTGGAACGTCCTCCTTAATGATCTATGATCTGGAGTATCCATCTTAGCTAATTGAGCTAAGTTGTGAGCAAGCTTATTAAGGGAGCTAAGAAATTTCTGATTCCCATTAACTTTCGCCAGCTTTACCACATTGATCAGCTCGAGAACGGATGCAAGCCGACAAACCCTAAAAGTAATAATACTTGTTAGCAGAGGATTAAACTGACTACCACAATAAGGAGAAGTTCTAATTTATTATTTACCCTTATTCAATGTATTTTTTAAGAAAATTTGATAAACATTCAAGTTTTTATTCGGACTCACAAGTTGTAGGTTATAGTGAGAAAGGATGAAATTTGTGAGGTTTTTTTTTCTTTGTTTAATTTGCTTTTTCTTTATATTTTTAAATTAATTTTAATTTATGCTAAAATAAATAGTTTTCATTTTTGTTGTTGTTAAATGATTGAATCACATGCTTCTACTTGTTTGCCATAGTTATATTAGTTGGACACAACCCTAAAAGTAGCTAACAAAATAGTTAAAATTATATATATATATATAGTTTGAGATATCAAATACCAAAATCGAAAAAATCAAAACATTAATGGTTTAGTTTCCATTAGTTGATAGTTCGTGGAATTTGGAATTAACCTTCCTTATAAAAGCTATAAAAAAAAAATCAAAATGATTGACTTGAGTGGAAGGAACTCCAATTGCTTAAGTAAGTAGTCTTGAATTCAAGTCTTTATATATATATAAAAAACTATCCGAATAGTCGTTTTTGTCTTGTGAACTCGACGGAATAGCGAAGAATTAGTTTAAATCTTTAAACTTGAGATGTTTTGAAAGATAAAAAAAAAAAAAATATCGATGGGGGCATGTTGATATATATATAATAATGGGATCTCTCATATTTCAACTAAAAATTACATATGGTTATGTTTTATTTTATTTTTTAAGCAGTATAGAACGCACGGTATCTAGTATACATTGTTTGGTCATTAGATCGAAGAGGAATTATTTAGGACATTGGGTTTATACTTCATTCTCTTGTGATTCATCGGTTTCATGTTTATCTGGAAAACAGAAATACAGCTTCATCACATCTAACAATAATTACTCAAAAAGTCACTTAACTTAGACAACTGAAACTTGAAAGAGAAATAAAGCAAAAACAAAATACAAAATTAAAGAGATTAAGAACCAAATCTTTTTCAAAAGTTACGATTTTTTTAATTTTGGTAGAGTGATTTTTAGTAGATAGGATTACGTATACACAAGCTTAATTGGTTGTGAGCTTGTACGTACACTAGAGGTAATGGTTCAACAATTTCAACATCATCTCCACCATTTTCCGTCCATTGTATGTATAATCAAGCCGAATAATCGTCGGAATCGATACCGATCGATAGAGCTACGTGGCATCTCAGATGGAAGAAACGAACCCGTCTAGAGATCATTTTGTCCTTCAGTACTGGCAGTGGCAGAGCATAATATATCACGTCGACTTGACCCTAGTCTCACGTGGAGATCACAGGGGCAACATATGGACGGACAGGAAGATGAGCTTGAAATTCTTCTACAATATTTTTGATCAGAAATAAGCTGGATTAGCACTCATGTATTCTGGTTTTTCTCTAAGATTTTACAAGAAAATGTTTTAATAAGAACGATCATCAAGGACTAATAATTTATAGATTTTAAGCAAATTTGTCTTATATCGCACTCCAAATTAATGTAATTCCAATTTCAAGAAAATTATATTTTTAACTGAATTCTCTAGGGTTTGGAAATTCTGAACATAGATTCCCTTCAAACTGCTTATTCTAGGCACTAAAAATTACACTTTTTTAAAGAGATTTGACCTCTGCTTTTTTTAAGAATTTTGTTGATTTTCGATTAACAGAGTATTTTTGAACCCTTAGAAATTCAGCTTAAAGGAAGATCCTATATTAAAAAAAAAAAAAAAAACTCCTAGATGATATAATTTTGTAAAGGGAAGAAACTTTTATTTTTGAGTTCGTTTAATTTGTTTGTATAAACTTAATTTTATCAAAATTTCAATTATTTGATTTCATTTATTACATATATTAAACTATATTATAATTCAAATCAAGTAAAAGAACATAAAATATTAAAAAATTAATTTTTATTATTTTTATTATAAAATAATTTAATGAATTAAATTTAATGAATGTAGTTATGAATAATACTGAGGATCTTTTATATATATATCCAATCAGGGAAATTTCACATACAAATTAGGGTATAGTAATTATTTATTTTATTCATAGCTAGGGATTACATGTGCATCAACACATATAAACATGGTTATTACAGGCTCCTGAAACAAAAACAAAAACAAAATAGAGTATTGTTAAAGTTAATTAACATAGTACCCCGCCAAAATTTAATTATCTTAATTTATAATTTCACAAACCGACCCGAACCCGAACGAAACCGAACCCTTAAAGAGTTGTTCATTTTCTAACCCTCAGTTCGAGAGTTGAAGGCTCAAAGGCAAGCAGCTCCTTGGATCGAAGCCAAGGCCGGACCACAACTTCCGAATCAAACATCTGCTTCTCTCCATTCTGTGTGGTGGCCGCAATCTTTAAATAATACTTGAGCCCAGAAACCACCTGCTTCTGTGCTTCCACCACCTCCGAAAACATCAGTTTTCTAACTCCACCACCGTTTCCGTACCGGCTCCTGTTGTTGTTGAACTCCTTCACGGAGAACCTCCCCAGCTCCTGGACCTCCTTGTTGGTCTTCACATCACTCACCTCCGATCTCCCGCCCACCATTCTTCCTCTATAACCACTCACTCCTGACACAAGAAACATGGACAGAACAACAAAAACCACCAACAAGGGCACTGAAGACTTTATAAGCTTTGACATGGCTATTGCTGAGTCTATATCTCTTTCTTTTCTGTATCTGTATTTGATGAGAATGGCAAGGACCATAGGAGATATATATAGAGAGAGACAGAGAGAGAGAGTAGAGGGAGGTGTGTGGGTGTGGGTGTCATGTAGCAATGAGTATGCCGTGGGGATGATGGAGAGAGGTTGACACGCAAATTAAGGTGGTGTGGTGTGGCGTGGAGAGGTGGGGATGCATGCACCAACGGCGTGCCGCGTAATTTAAAGATGTTTGAGTTAGGGAAGACGACAGAAGGCATGCACGGTGATTTTTTTTATCGGATTTTGTTTTTTCTCATAAATAATCTCATCTTTTCAGCTTTGGTACTTTGTGGAATTAATTTTCGTGGCACCAACGGTGTTTTTTTGGTTTTGTACTGTGTCATGTACGCTTATCGTCTCGGGCTTTGCTGCGTTGTTGTGTTGCGATCGATTGTGTGACGACTGGTTTCATGTTCCAGCTGGAATATGTTTAATTAATTTGAGGAAGTGACCTTTTCTTTTCTATTCGTTTCTATTCTTTTATTTTCCTTTCAAAGGAAAATCAAATACTACTAATAAGAGAAATAATAGTATTGCAATATAATTTAGTGTAAATTACAATAATCATCCCAAAACGATGAAATCACAAGAAATATTTAAGGACAAATCTCAAAAATATTACCTCACAATGTAATGCCAATATTACTATCAAATAATTTTGGTATCAGTTTTACTTTCAAATTCTTAGATATATATTCTCAATTAAAGACTTTCATTTATTATTAAGATTTTTTGTTCATATATATATTTCTATGTAAATTAAATGGCCTCATTTGATAGGGAAAATATATGTTTTTCAAGTAATTCTAACAAAAATTCTTAAATGAAAAATCAAAATAATTTAATCATAAAATTAATATAAAAAATACTTTTGAGTGAAAAATTAATAATATCCCAATAATTTGGTGTTACAACTGATATTTACCTTATTTTCCTTTTAAAAATTGATAGAAGCATTCTCTGTGAAAGAAAAAGCTACAAATTAAAGCCTCTTTCAAAACCCAGAATTTATGTAATATATTCAGACTTTTGAATGGTATCATTAATTTCCCGATATATCAAGAATTATTATAATTTATTCAAAAAATTTACTTGGTATTTATGCCTCGCTGATCCTTAAAGAGATAGGGCCAGGAAGACTGCTTTTAATTTTCGATCTGAACCATTATATTATATACCTTTATGTTCCTTTATTTTTCATATGATTCAATTTAGTCCTTGTTTCTCAAAACTAATTTGCAATTGGATTCTTAATTTCAAAATTTTCTTTTCTTTTTCAAACTTAAAAGCCTCTCTCTACCTACATATTATTTTCAGGTAACAAAATACACATTCTTAAAGAGTTAAAAGTGTTTTTTAGAGGATCAAACTAAAACCAAAAAAAAATTGAAACTTTTGATTTATTTTCTTCTTTTGTGTTTTGTTTTTTTAATTTGAAAAGGATCGAATTGTTATTCAAAATTAACATGGATAAAACTAACATAAACTATACTACTGTACATTTTAACCAGGTTATCGTCTGTCCCCAGATCTTGAGAAGAACGGAAAGTGTTTGGAAAAGCAAATGTTTTTTGGCATCTGGTTGGTTTTGGCTCTACGTAATACGCAATTTGCAGAGTTGTAGTAGCTACGCGCGCATGCAGAAGGACAAATGCCGAAATGCTGGTCTGCCTGGTGGCTGGCTGTGAGCCAGGCTCTCATTTTCTGCCTCCAAGACTCCAACTTGAATTTTAAAGTGATGAAATAAGTATTTATTTAATTAATACACGTACGGTTCCATATTGATATATTTAACTTTGATTGTCAAATATCATCATGTTCCTCAATGCATTTTGGGACAAAATTTTCAATTAGTATGTAGGGAAGGCAAAATAAACCAATTTTCAATTAATTAGTAGGGAATTAAGGCCAAATCAAACCAATTATAATCATGCATGGAGGTATATACGTTATATTGTTCCATTTATGCTTTTCCGAAAATATCTTTCCAACTTTCTTACAATTGGTGTAACTTGGAAAACTTTTCAAATTAGGAAAACTATTTTTCCGTCATAAAAATATATGTACACTTACAATAATTTTTTTCCCTTTTAAAAAGTAAATACTCAAAAAAATTAAGACTCGAAAGCATGTGCTGTTATTTTATTTCTCAGATACAATTTATCTTTTATATATTCAATATTTCGCTATTTTTTATAGGCACTAGTTATATTATACAAGTTTACAAAAAAAAATCTTTCATTTAATAAATATTAGAAAATATATAGTTAACATAGTATATCTAAGGCACAGCTGAAAATTGACAAAAAAAGCTTTTTATAAGATTTATTTTACAAGAAACAAACGGAGGATAAGATATTTATAGTAGTTGGAAGCCGGTAGCCTTTGCTATGTTTGTTGCCAGTTCTCCACTAGGCCATGACACGAAAGCTAGCGTCATAAGCGACCATCCAGCCATACCCCTATTCAATTGGCGAAGCTCGAAGACAAATAGTCCAAGCCTACGCTGAATTTATGAGATAAAAAACAAAAAACGAAGTAAAAACTGATAATTATGAAGTTATTTTCTTGTTTTTCACAACTGACTTGGAGAATAATGATGAGATAGAAGACAAATTGGGTATGGGTTGGAGAAAATTACACAACGACTGCTCATATTCTTAGCCGGTTCACAGACTTCAAAAATGCTCAACATGCATGTGAATCGAACGTAAAATTTTGAGTTCATAGTTTATAAGATGTTGGATTGTTAATTCCCTAGCTAGTAGCAGGAGCCTATTCTCCTTGGAAATTTTCCCAACCTCGCTTACATAAAATAACATCAATGGTAAGAATCGATATATGACTTAATTAAATAAATCAAACTTATTCATTTTTTTTATATGATGTTATTTAATAAATTCAAACCTACGACTTTATTAAATAAATTTAAACTTATCCATTTTTGTTATACGATGTTATTTAATAAATTCAAACCTATTCATTTTTGTTACACCACATCATAGAATAACAACGTTATATAACAATCATTATAAAAAATACAACAGCACTGTACTTAAATAACAAGAATAATAACGTTATATAACCATGTTATTTCAATTTTTTTATAAATAAAAATTTATATTATTATTCAGCAAAAAAAAAAAGTAAATAACAATATTTTTTATTTTTTATTTTTTATTTTGGAATAAATTTATTAAAAAATACTAATATATTCATACATCAATTACTGTAATTATTATTTTATTACCACAACGAGCCACCATCACCAGCTGCTTTTACAACCCTTTCAAAAACAATGTCCCCCACTACATTCATTCTAGTTGTAGGATCTTGGGCCAAATTGAAGCTATGATGCTAACTCATCAAGGCCTAAAGCTAATACTTAGATATTCATGAATTTGAATTTTGAGAATCAAATTTAACTTGCATCTATAAAAGATATAACATAAATCCAATTTTTGAGTTTCAAGTTTACCACATCAATAACTTAAAAATGTATAAACATGACGATTTGATAGTGGGATGATCCAAGTACGGATGCCGGAAAAACAATTCCAGGTACATAATATGATTCTAGGTCTGCCTTATCTCAGATTTGCAAACCATGAACCATGCCCTTTCCTGAAAGAATAAAAAGCTATATTCTACCCAATTGCAAATGTATGTATAGGCTTTCAGTCAAATGCCCTTGCATTAGAAAGCAGAAATGAGAAACTTGATTGGCTCATACAGTAAGATTTTTATTTCCCTAATGCCGGTATATAAACCCCATCAAGTACACAAAAATTGTTAGTTTACATTAGAAATAATTGGCAACAGTTTTACTGTAAACTATCATCGATTCAAGTGGCCAATGACCAAGAATGGCAGCTGTACAGTGTACACACTATCTGTCAAAGTTTTGGTATCCTAGTGATCGAAGTTGTCAGCAATAAAATAACATTACCAACTAGTGCAATTCCACAAGTGCTTTTGTTGGGCATTTGATTTGATATAATTGAACCACTCTATGGGAAGACTCCAGATTTTAGACCATTCTGAAGTCCAGGTGTGGCTTCATGCAACAGCTCAATCAATTGCGGATCTGCAGCCACATGACCTTTGAATCAGGTGGAGAGCTTCCCAGTCCTACAGAAACGATTTCGCTTCTCGTTAACATGCAGAAACAAGAAATAATGCATCCTATTCTTTTATTAAACCATGGACCTGTGAAGTTGGAAATTCTAACACAAGCTAGATAGCAACTGTAGTTAAATATATTTATAAGAAAATATAAAATAGAGCTATTGGTGAAATTTTCAGCATAAAGTTCAAACATGAGAGCTATACACAGGAAAAAGCATACTACAGTAAGATTTGTAGGGCACATAACAAGCAAATAAAAAAGAACACTTCCAGTCATGATACATATGCGCACTACATGAAACAGTTTAATAAATTACACAAGCGATGTAAATAGGACTTGAAAATTATACAGGTATGCAGTGTGGCAAAAACCCTCCTCCCTCTCCTGACACGCCTTCCCCTTTCTGCCAAGCTCAGACCCTAATCAACTCTCTTCCTCTCTCAATTTTCTTTTATGCAAGAGTGAGCCCTACCTTTCCCATTTGATAATCTTAATGACTGTCTCCCTAAACCAGAGAGACCTGAACAAAATGAATATTTTATGTGGAGGCAAAAATGTGGGAATGGGTGCAAGTGAGTTACACAAAGTCCTAATGAGAAACCAGTATCTTGAAATCCAGTTTTGTTGCCGGACCCTGTGACAGACATGAATAAGAACCCTCATGTTTAAGTTTGCTCATCACTAATTCTAATGTATGACCTTATGTTCAACAGAAATAAAAACCCTTGAAATGTTTAACATGGTCTTCTAGTAAAGGCAGCTGGTGGTCTATAACAAAGTGGATTAGCATCAACCCATATGCTCGAACACAGAAAATCATATTTCAGGACTTCGGAGAGAAAGGAACTCAAGTGTTCTTATCTGACATTTCAACCATTGACAAATCTCAATTACGATACATATGCACCTGCCTCAGCATGTTTCAAGGAAATTTCCGGACACATCTTTGAACTAAAATCAGCAAAGTCACATAGAGAAGCAATTTACCATATCTGTTTACAACAGTCTTGTTGTATAAATAATTCATATAAGATTTACTGCCAATAAGACCCATACCTTCCAACACTAACCAAAAAGATTTCACTGGATATTAAATCCAGGAAAATCAAGTTGTTGGCCGTGTCATCGTAGACAAACCACGTCCCACAGGGATGGCTCCCAGAAAACCATCATCCGTTTCTTCTTCTTCTAATGCAGCTGCAAAGTTTGAGTCAATCGGATGGGAAGAGCAATTTAAGAAAATCTCTTAAATAAACGAAGCAAAAAGTATCAAGACAAAAAAGAAAGCAAGGAAAAAAGACAGATCTGAGCAGTTCATAGAAAATATGCCACTAAAAAACCAAAAAGGAAAAGGAAAAACAAGACATGACGTTCCTCATGCATGATGTCCAAGAAAAATGACATAACAACTCAAATATGAATTAATATGCTTTGTTTTAGTAACCTAGCTAATTGGTTTCCAAATCAACACAGAACTCAATTATTTCAATTTGGTACATTATATCAGTGACCACTGCATTCCGCTTATTCTGATTTACATCAACTCAGATACACTGTAGATATATGAGGAAAACATTGACAGCTAAATTGAACAATTTTCAACAATGGTTGCTTACCATTAATCTCCTCTCCAGCTTGCGTCCCAGCAACCCCAATGCATGAATAGAGAGAATCCTCATCTACTTTCAATTGTTCATATGCAAAGTATATGTCCTCAATAGTGGCAGATTCATATAGCGAAGTAAGATCTTTAATACATGACACGTCCTGAACCCCAGAATCAAGAAGCAAAGGTCATATGAAGTCGATACTCTGTCTCTAGATAGAAGCCACAAACTAAAGGATGGAAAGCTAGGATTCAAAGGAATTCTTTTCTACCTTTCTCGAAACAGAAGAGGCTTGCAAATGAGCGAGCAGTCCAAGCCAATAGGCATTTGACTTGATCTCAGCTTCATGTCTCATTAGTAGCGTCCGTTTTGCCTGTAATCGCAGTGTGTTAAAAAGAAACATACTACACATCCATGAAAACATAAGATACAAGCAGAAATAAAAAAGAACCCTACTCCATTATACAAATAGATATTTCCTAATAAGAAAGGAAAAAAAAATCCCAACCAACAAGTTAATTAAAGCAAAAGCTGCTAAGGGGGTAACAACAATGAACTTCTGGAAAAGTTTTTCATCATTTCCATTAAACATGTTTGCTTCAACAGATTAGAATCCTGTGCTCCATGTATAAATGCTGTCCATCACAGAAGATGCAGAGAGTATTCTAGTAGTTGTATAATATCTAACCCTGTCCAACTCTCTCTGGGCAACCTTGTTGCTATGCAACCCTCTAAGAACACTTTTGCATGCATCCACTGCTTTATGTACCTGCATGTTAGTAGGCCAAAAGCTAGTGAATAAGTCAGAACTGACAATAAAATAGTAGATGCAAATATAGGCAAATAACCCCTACCTTGCCTGGAGTTGATGTTACTGATACCACATACCACCCAAGCTTAAGCCTATCAAACAGGCTTAACTCAAACGATACGTCATATGTCAACCCAAGAGAATCTCTAACTGTGGTAAAAAGCCTGCACAAAACGAAGACATTGCTGAATGAAAATACAAATAATTCATAGCTATGGTAGCTAAAAGTATTTTAGATGCAAGTTCAAGTAAGGCTGCATAATTCTCAAAACTAAAAGATTACTGTCATCTGCTAGTCAAGGAAGGCATCTTCAGAAAATCATTAATCTGTATTCTAGATTTGAAAGAAGTGTTAGTAGAGAGAAAATGCAAAGAGCATCCATGAAACAATAGTATGAATTTTAATAATTTTCCAAAATATGTTTACAGCATAAGATACATCACTTTTCTGTGTGTTTGTTCTTAAGATAGCAAGGCCCCTCATCCCTAGGGAGAGGCCATTTTGCAGAGTACAATACAACTAGACTAAAGTGGTGTTTGATAAAACTGAAAGTTAAGTACCGAATATGTTAAAGTATTGAATTTTAAATGCTGAATAATTAAGTACCAAAAATGTTACTGACAAGGTGTTTGGTATTTATTAAAAATTAAGCGTTGAATATAATAAGATTGTTTAATAAATACTATTGCTGAACATATTAAGACTATATACATGACAATTTTAATCTTGCAACTATAACATGATATTTTTAACACAAATAAAAATATATACATAGATGTATTTGTGTGTATAAATAAATAAGAATTCAATAAAAATGATTATTAATAAAAAAATTAAACACAATCTAAGATAGTATTAATTGTCGTATCATGCATAAAATAAATGAAATCTTAAATACTAATCAATTCATTTGCAATTTGCTACAGAACAATAAAAAAAAAGGCTCTTTCTAACCATTGTTTCATAACCCTTTTGTCTTGTGTTATGGCTACTCAGGAGAGAACACTTGATGAGCACAGAAGATTGGTGGGCAGGGTTATGAAGCAAGATCAGAAGGGGCGAAAAAAGATAGAAGCTGCTGGTTTGGACTACCAGTGCCCTGAATTCGTAAGAACTCCAATGATTTTTCTCCTTTTTAATACTCGACCAAGTACAAAAGATAATTGGGGAAAAAAACAGGAGAAGGAAATTAGCATGCTATGTTGCTTGTTGATGATGATGGGATGGAATCACCAATAATGGAGAAGGTCTCTTCTTTTCCGGCAATAGGGATAATAGAGATCGTTTCTCGGTCGTTTTGTATAGCTAAGGTTATAAGAATATATGAAGGCTATATAATCATATTTAAAAAGTTTTAAAAATCTTCAACTAAACGTGTTGATCGAAAAGTTCTAAGTTAAAAACTTTAACTTACCTAATTAAGTGAATTTTGACTGAATTTAAATTTTAAAAAATGAGATTATTTAGATTATCAAACAAACTTGTTATAATAAGTACTACAACTTAATTTTTTAAGCTACTTAAATAGGTTATCAAACACAACCTAAATGTCCACAGCATCATTCTAGACGAACAGGTACAGAAGGTGCAAGAAACAAACAATAACACTGGTTAACACACAGATGGTAGGACATTGGTACAATATGCAGTGATATCATATAGATGTAAGTGCTTCCTAAGCTAAGTTGTCGGAAAAATTACCGAGAATTTATGATCTCAGCCAGTAGCCCCATCGTTATGCCAAAGAAGAGTGGATGATTGCTAAGTTTTCCTCGCATATCCTTCTGAAATTCCTTCCTGTCTATCTCTTGTGTGTCAGATTTTGGTTGTGCCTCTGCAAAGCATTGGCCAGCTATGAGATTATGGGTCACCCTTTCAGTTTTTTGGGAAAAAGAAAAAGTTGTATTCAACTATCCACACAGAAACAGTTCAGAAGTGAGAGCCAGATAATATTAATAAAGAAAGGTAAACTTGAATAAATTTACAGTTTCTATAACATGTCAACCACCATCTTCTATAAGCAGACAAGACTCAACAGTTTTAAATTCAAAGAAAAGCAACATGAACATTTAATAGAAACATTGGAAATGAAACCAATTGGTTACTCATACAATCCATGCCTTCCAAAAAGCAAGCACCATTTCTTGCAATTCTTTTAATGTTCACATTAAAAATGCAGTTAATTAACTACGACATATATCCGATTTACAAGACTATCTATCACCAATAATTTTGCTTACAGATTTTAGAAGAGTATTAAAACAATTCCACATTAAAAACAACTGCCTTAGTGAGGCTATTCGGGAATACAAAATTTTAAGATGGGAAATAAATAAGCCAGCAAATACAGGATAAGCTTACATGAAACATGATAAGAGGGTGAAACAAAAAGGACTTTTCCCAAAAAAAATTTTAGATAATAGAAGATGTATTAATAGCAAAGAGAACTACAAAAGCTTGATGGAGAATAATTCATCCTCCCAAATAATAATGCAAAACGAATATAATAAATGAGCAGCCCAATATTGCTGAATATAGTTAAAGAAACTTCCCAAAAAGCCCCTGAAGCTTGATACAATAAAGAAGAAAGTAATACTTTTCTATCCCCACCCTTCCTGGCATACAACTTATCCAAACATCTGCAATAAAGTTCTTCCCTTTTTTATTTCTTGTTTCTCTCCATCATGCCCTTTCAACCCTTAAGAAGTCTTACACGAATCAAAATACAAGCAGCAAATTTATCAATTCTACTTATAGAATGAAAACTCACCAGCAGTAACCAAAATGCTACTCATTGACTCAAATAGGTCTTTTCCATCAACAGTGAAACCCCAACGATTTGGTGCAGGACCAGCAATATATGCACATGCTCTCTCATCAGTATCCTTCAAATAAACCTGCTTAAGAGTACAGATACTTTAAATACTCTTGTCATATAAATATACAATGACACAGGTTTTCCATAAATTTCAAAAATAAAAAATCAAACTAGGATTTATGGTACACATTAGGGCTTCAGCCAAGCCAATTATTACTTGCTTGCAGGCTTGGCTCAGTCACAAAGATGAAATGCACAAATTTGCTCAAGCTCAATTGAGCTCCAACACGCCAGCTCAAGGTCAGGCTCAGCACATATTGACTGGCATGTTTATTCACCAGCCTATACGAGCACAAATTTGGACTCCTGGCATTTCAAATCTCAAATGTGAAAATTTTCAAGTTACAAGAAATGTTTTGATCCTCACTTGTTGAAACTGCAAATCAGATGGGGAAGGTCGAAACATGATGGGATTAAATTCTTGATCATGATCAGAACCTCTTGTTGCTCTGACTGTCCCCAGGTAATCAATAATGCAAGACTCAATCTCCTCCTCCGAGAAATCCCCAACAATACTTACCTGAAGAATAAAGACATGCACCTTTTAGATGATGGAATTTTTGTATCCAGATGTGATATGCAGGATTAACAAGTAGATAATCACACACCTCCATGTTTCCACCGACAAACTGATTCATCACTGCATCTTTTACAGAATTCAGTGTTAAATTTTGTAATGACTGGGGGGTTGGCTCAACAAACCGCTCATCCCCATTCAACATTGCTGTCATGAGCTTGTGAGCAGTTGCACGTTCTAAGCTTTTGGGAATGGACCGGTAATATGACAAGTAGAGTTGCCTGGCTCTGTCGAATGCATCGTCCAGCCAGACACTATGCTGGGATTCAGCAATTTCATGTATCAAAACATCAGTATATGAGGGCAAAAATGTGCCATCAGTCAAAAGCAACCAAACAACACCTTAAAATGAAACACCAAACATTTACAGATTGGCATATTTTGGTTATTGACAGGGTTACCTCAAGCACCATATGAAGTAACTCGAATGCTGCTCGCATCCCATTGTCTCGCAGAGTGAAGCGGAACTCCATACAAATAAATTCCTCAGTTGACTCCAAAGAGCAATTTATCAGGTGATTCACACAAAAAAGTTCTACCTGAAGACGCATATTGTACAGTTATGAGGGTAAAATGAACTGCTGAGAAAACTTCCCAAAATCCGTTAAAAAAAAAGTATGATTGCATGATAACTCACAACTAACTTCACATGATGTTGCATCAGCAGTTCTATAAATTTGGAACCCATTATATGTTACATGCTCACACCTGATAATTTAAGATTTTGACCATGATACCGTCTTTAGAATATTAATTTCTCATACTCATAATGAACTTTTCTATTATGTTAACCCCAATTTACAAGCTCTAATTTTCTTAAACACTAGCATATTTGTATAAACAGGTCACATTATATACACACGTTTTTTCTCCACAATTCTTCATACTTCAGTAATTATCCAACTGCAATAAATCCTTGTCTGCAAATGAGTCCTTATCAGAGCTAATTACTGATAAAAATGATCGCCGCACTTCAAAAATTCTGCTCTCTGTAAAAAGAAGCGTATAGATGTAACCCGATAATATGTCTGGAAAATAGTACCTCATATTCAGTTGTTTTTAAAGTCTCAGCCATTCTCCGTTGTTTAGATTATTTTTTTTTCTTTGTTTAGGTGTTTGGTGGTGTGGCCATGTGGGGGGTGGGGGGTTTGGGGGTGTGGTGGTGGTGGTTTGGATAATCTTCTTGACAAGTCGATCTAAACTGCTACATAGTTTCCAGATGCTTGCCCAATCTCTCTTCACATAGCTGTTCATACTTTACACACCCTCATCGTGGTTTCAAATTCCCTCCCCCCCCCCCCTCTCTCTCTCTCAACCTAAAAGCCTAGGGGAATTTTGCAACAACAAAGGTACGCATTCAACTCGTAAATGCAAGCTAGGGCTCTCTCCAAATTCTCCCTTTCAAGACCATAATCTAATAGGACCATAACTGTGTAATTCCTTTTAGCAAAAAGATTATCCAAGGGTTCCTAAAGTCTCAAACAAACAGCAACAACTACCATTTAAACTGAATTTATTATGGCAGATCTTTCAGATAAAATTTGAAAATTTTAATCGGAGGAAATAGAGGGCAAGCACCAATAGTAATAATGATATTGATGACTTCCTTTCTAAAGATCATTTCAGAACTAATAGTCTAACCACCATAACAGAGAACTTTCTAATATTGAATTTTAAAAAGAACAACAATATATAATACTACACTTACCTGCTCTCTTGAAAAGTTGCCAACACGACCACCCTCACTGAGAGTTCGAACACCCACAACAACAGCTCCTTTTGACTCAGAACTTTCAGCTGCTCGGCCCCCACCCACAATAAGCCGCATGACTCCCCCCGGGATTCACTTTTGGATATCTGCACAGCAGCATGGGCTTAAACTACAAATGAAATTCGTGGTGATATGTTTAAGCATTTCGCAATATATATCCATCAAGTTCTTTATCATACATCCATCAAGCTGCAAAACAGGAGGATGGAAAAAGGAGCAGACAAGAAGTATTTTTTAACTTTGAAGTGAAGAATAAAATCAATCCAAAAAGAAATAACATTAAGCACTGCTACACTTCAGATGGCTATTAGGGATCAACTATATATAGTTGAGTGAAATTTGAAACACAATAGAAACCCAAATCCAATATCATACAACATCAAAACATATCAGTATATCAGTGCAACCAATTGCATAACAATACCTTGTAATTTACAGCAATTCCATTTGAAAGACGACACTGAGTGATGCCTGTTTCTTGGTCATGCAATTTCGTGTAACCTGCATCTGGAAGTAAAGGGATAAAAGACGGTCTGCGTAGTAATCGCAACTCCTCTAACTGTGTTGAAGATATCAGTTCTTTCGGCACTTCAAGCTGCACATAAAATCAAATAAATGAATTTGTCAATGAAGTTATTTGAATAATTGGCTTTATATATAAAAATGACAAAAAGGAAAAAGAAGTTAAAAGAACAAAGCATGCTAAGTTCCATGTGGACACCTCTGGCTCAGCCTCTATTGCTTCCTCCAATCCTGATTCTATGGCAGCTGTAATCTCACTTGAGGATATCTTGAACTCAGTTTCACCCAATCCATCAATATGCACTTTTGTAGGAACACATGCAACGATTGCTGCAGGAATCGGTGCAGTAGGTTTTCCAAAATCAGAAATAAATTCTAATAACTTGGCACCAACAGAATTGACCTATGTTCATGAGAGAGAGAGAGAGAGAGAGAGAGAGAGAGTTAGAATAATTAGAAGAAATCACGAAAAAAAACATCACAAACGAAAGAGTGAATGCATAAAAGAACCTCGCAATCCTCATTATAAACTTCAAAAACTTCAGAAAGCAAACCAGTCCATGCAAACAAGCATTACACTCACGAAGCATCTACTACCAAAGGAATACATTGCATTCACAGCAAACATAACCACAAATATTTCCAATAAAACCTCACCAACATACAAATTCAAGTTGAAAGACAAGAAATCAAGGCATCTGATAAAAGGTAATGGCAAATTTGCAAAGCATCAAACCATTAGAAAAATTAAGCAACTTCTAGGAGATGAGATTTTGGCATAATACTAACTATGGTTCCTCGTTAGTCGCTTTACAGATAATATCATGGTGGTTCTAGAGCAAGTTCAAACTACATACTGAACGATGCAGGAAAAAAAATGGAAATGTGACAAAAGAGCATAATCAAAATATAAACATATATGACAATCAATGAAGTTAGGGCTTCCTAGATTACGAACACACTCATGTTACAGAATTTCATATTTACACAGAAAAGCATGTTGCACAACAGGAAATAATAGTTAGGGTAACCATGGGTAAAAATTACTTCTTCAAGTGTGATCGTTCCAGCAACAGCAAACAAACTCTCATGTCCTTGTCTCTGATCCATCACAGTATGGCCAAGAGCATCACTCTCCATAATAAATTCCAAATTATCAACAGATGACACATTATCAATCATAGCTGCCAGATGTTCGCTATCTTTTAGAAGTGCATCCATGTAGCGAGATAATTCACCCTTTGTGACACCAAATTCTTTAAGCCTTCGAACCTGTATCGAACAAAATCTATAAGATATTGTAACAAGGAAAAGAAAAAAAATCTAAAAGTAATTTAAGAGGGTTAGTAGCGGTATCAAATAAGATGCATTGCCTACTGGAGACTACTATTAGTGGTTGCAACTGCTAATGCAATCTTATCAAACAAAAGACCATGCCTTATTCTACAGTTAGCAAATAAGGAGAACAAGAAGAAGAAGAAGAAACAGGTGGTTTATCTCACAAAGATTCCAAACTGAACGGAACAAAAAAATAAAAAATCAATGCAATGGAATTGCATTAGCTGTAGTATTGAAGACAGTAAGAACGGAAAGGTACGAACCTCCTGAACAGCAACTTTAATTGCATTTTGCCAATTCTTGGGTTCTGCAGTTACTGTAAGAGTTGTGACAGTGCATCCTTCCCTTCCAGAATCACTATGATCCAATTCAACTGAAGTGAATGGTGGATTTGAGCTCTGAAAATTTTGACAAATTAACATAACTTTTGAAGGGCTAATGAAACTAGGTGATATGGACCTACACACAAAAAATAAATGATTTACCAACTTCCATCATTTTTTACCAGCAGTCTGCAGAATTACTATACATTTGAGTTCAAATTTTGACTATTAAATTTGCATTGACTTCCAACCTGCCCGATTAGCCGAAAGCATAGCCAGGCTCATGATCAATAATCAGAAGAAATCTTAAGCATTGACAATAATAAAACCATCATCATCATAATCCGTGTTTACAAGGAGTTAGACTCGTTTTCAGTTTTGACACTACCATTTAAAAGCCACTAAAAGGCAATGCCCAAACAAACATGCATGCAAAGCAACACAACACATTAAAACTGATGTTTATGGAAAAATCAATAAGAGGCCAAAACAATCACAGATTAAATTGCAATAAATAGGATAGCCAGCAAAAGAAACAAGCACAAGAAAAGGCTCAAACTATAATATAACAATCACAAACCTTGTATCTTGTATTAATCCGGAAGTGCAGTGCAGATAAAAATATTCTCTTCATCAAAACATTACGCAAATCACCATAAGTTTGGACCTTGCTCACTGGAATCTGCAGCAAAATCCAGAGCATGATGTCAATCCCCCGAAAAAAGAAAACAATGAACCAAACCCACTTTCCAAAGGCTATACATGGAACATAAAATACTAATCAAGACCAATAGGAGAAACATATAACCAAACAGAGAAGCATAAGTTTCGACATGCAGATAAAGAATCTAACAGCATGTAACTGTAAGTGTATAAGACAATCGAATTTGGGAAAGTTCTTAAATTACAAAAAGGAAACAAGAGGAAAGATTCATCTTTTTATGTTTATGTGAGCAGAAAAATGTTCTTCAATGCAGCGTGCCATGAAATGCAGTTGAGGTTTACAGAATCAATAGCATGGGAAAGCTAGGTTATTCATAAACAATTGATTTTTTTCCTTTGACTAAGATGAAATAATGATATTATCCTTTTCAATAGCATTAGAAAGACTGGTTTCAATATATCATGCATCAGTTTTAAATCTGAAATGTAAATGAATGAATAGAATATTGAATATGTGTCCTTTATGAGGAGTTGACAGGTAGTTTTCTATAATAACCATAAATCCATGGCATGCTTTATTACTGCCAATGCTTCAGGGTCTCACCATTCAAAAAGTAGGAAATCAACAATAACTGGCATATCACAACACTAATACATATAAAATTGGGTTGTTGAAGGGAAGTTAACAAATATCAAGAGACCAATTCTGAGATAGAGAGAGATATCATTTATTACTAAAACGAACTCTCAAACTAACTTATGACGTAAGACCTAGAAAAAAAATTCAAACATTATCCAATTTTGGTTCAGAAAATTTATACATGTTCATAGTGAGCTTTGTTCTTTATAGGTCAGCCATTGTTTACTGGGATAAGCAACAGTCTTCTTAATTTTACAACATCCAGATTGAAATCAAAATCATCAAACAAATTGCAAAAAGAATTTCCATAAGAATCAATTTGGATTGACTTTGGTATGATAGTTAAAACATGAGTTGACTTAAAATGTTCTGTTACAAAATTCAGAACATAGACTTTATTTTGATCCTATGCTATCAAAAGCAACATGGAAAATAAATTTCCATGTCAACTTGGCTGCCATTTTGAAGAATTCAATCCATTCCTTCAAAAAAGTTCCAAATGGATGGTAGGAAAAAAATATCACAACTGCAAAAGGGGGGCACATTATATATAGACCCCAACACTCCCTTAAAAAACAGAACATTAAACTTCAAAACAAAACTTACAGTCGAACAAGTTTCTTAAATGATAAAGAACTGATCCAGTCATAGTACTGTCTCGAGCAAAGGGTTGAGCCAATGCAAAGGACCCTATTCAAAGTCTGGATATTCTTCTAACGTCAAAGGTACTATATATTAAATGTTAATACAGAAACACAAGTCAATGGTCTTACTGTCTGTCAAGATTCCCTTTCCAAATAGCTAGACTCCCAACTATTGATTTGGACTAGATTCTCTACAGCCAACAGCTCTTCAATTTTACTGTTGGTCATTACAACTCATGCATGATGGCAGAACCAGTATTATGCATAGAAAATGATACTTTTTACTGAATTTGTTCTGAATTTAGAATTTGGTGAGACGCATACAATAGTAATCATCACCCAAGAAATTAGAGGATAAAACAGAACAAGGACCTCGGCACAAAACCAGCACACGGTCTAATGTTGGCAGAATATAAATGGTACTCTTATCGTTCATACCTTGCAGAACATATTAATTGAAAAGTTCTGAAGAAACTCGTGCTGAAATATCTGTGGTGGCTTCATATTTGCATTGCTTCCAGAGAGAGACCAATAATGCTCTACAGGAGGACGAACAGCATGCCTTTCCTTTTTAATGATTTTAGATTGGTCTAGAGAACTAGATGACTTATCGCAGGATGAACTTCCAGGGAGTCCAACCGAGAGCTTAGGAACAAGAAAACTAGCCATTGCACCGAATGCACTTGGAGAAGGAGAAGAAACTGTCTCGCTTTCCAGGCCAGTTTCTCCAAAGACATTCTGCATGGCAAGAAGTAATTATAGGCCTTGTTTCAAGAAAGGTACCAAAGTCATTAAGCCATAAAGTAGTTCATTACTACAAATTAAAGATATTTTTGGGCATACTTCAATCTGTTGAACTGTCTTTGAAATGTTATCAATGTCGCCAACAATGTATAGAGTTGCATTTGCAGGGAAGTACCAACGCTCATGGAATTTCCTAATTTTATCTGCATCCCACTTCTTAATCTGCTCTTCCAATCCAATCGGGAACCTTCTGCTCAGCTTGTTTTCTGAATGTAGATGTTGTAATAACTACGTTCAAAAGAAAATCATCAAACATTTATGGCCAGCAAAAAAAATTAAAACATTAACTAGTTTCCACATATAAGCAGCATTGAGTTTGTACCTGGCAGTCGACGCGATATTCTATAGTATTCATCATCTGTAGTTCTGAAAGTATAGCACGCCTTTCCTTTTCAACTCGAGAAGCAAGGAAACTTGGGTGGAAAGCTATCTGTTCAATAAAACAGACATGTTAAATAAAACACAATGATGGTCACATCTTTACTCCACATGCCATCATGACAGCAAACAATTGTCTTCTTGAAAAATATTTTTTTTCCAAACTAAGGGAAGAATCTCAAATATAAGAGCAATTGCTTTATATGTACCTCATTCAAAGCATCCAGCACAGAGAGTAGTAGATCTCCATCAGCATCCTGGCAAACACCATTTGCCATCAATAAATACCACATGTTGGAATTTAATAAAAAAGGACTGGTTCAAGAAGTAAGCAAAAGAAAGCAAGACACAAACCTAAGGTAGTTTGTAATGCAAGCATACAATAACAATAGGCACATAGGGAGACAGTGTATTGCAAGACAGTAATATATCTCCTTAATCCTCTCAACATGCACACAGATGCTCATTCTATAGTATCACGTCTTCATATTGGGTACAACACCAAAATTTAAACATACTCCAGAAAATTAACAAAACTTTACCACGAGTACGTTTTTAAGCTTCCATGACCCTACCAGATGCTTGTTGCACGCTATGCTATGCAAAGGACAAACTGAACAGTAACATCAGAGTTGTTTTTCATTGTACAAAAACAAATTTAGCCCAATGCATTGGATGCACATTCTGAAGTCTTTTTTCCTTTCCAGCAGGTGCAAAACATAATAACAAGCAGTATGAATCATACGAAGCATATCTGCAAATGCACACAAACACACAGGCTCGTGCTAGCCATTAAAATGTCTGCTATGTTAACATAACAATTGTAAACTGTCTGCTGTGTAAACATGACAATTGTAAAGTGTCTGATGCACATGTATATTCCTCATTTTGTAGCTGTAATCCTTGCTTTGTAGTTTTTAACTGTTTTTTGCTCAGATATAACACATCAATTAAATCATTCTAAACCATCTTTCCATTTGTAATCCATGCTTTATAGTGTTTTAACTTTTTTTTTTTTTTTTCGCTCACTATATAAGCCCATTGAATCTTTAGATGGATTTTTTTTTCCATATTTCTCCATCATGGCATTGAGTTATTTATCTTCAAAATTTATTTATTTACTATGTTGACCCAATCAAAAAAGTTACCATAGAGCTGCAAGGATAAAAGCAGATAAAAAAAATTACAAGAAAAGCACAAAGGAGAGCAAAGAGAAAAGAGGGAAAACATACAACTGGAACTTAAAAAGGTGTTAACAACACAAACCAAAACCATTTTAAATCAATTGTTAGTGTACACGAAAAATTGAGAAAAGTGACAAACCTTTGTACTAGTTGGTGAATGAATATGGAACACCGTATGGTGGAAATCAGTGTAAGCATTAGATCGAGCACCTGTTCCAAGAAGTTTTTCACGTTTTTTACTTCCAAGGAATGCAACATGTTCAATCATATGTGCAATTCCTTGCTCATCATCTTCCTCGTCTATCGATCCTACATGAACTTCCATGTGTGCCTCAAACCTAAAAAATTGAAAAATAGTTTTGTATATGAGAGAAGGAACAATGAGTATTGACCACATCAAGCACCACCATTGAAATTAAAAGCCTTAACTATGGATAGTAGCCTTTCTTTCCAAATACAACTGACTAGATGGAAACAAGATGAGTTAGGGTACCATATAGATGAGAGAGAAGAGCTACAACAAAAATTTTCAGGCCCCTCTTGATTTAGAGTAGAAAAATAAGACAATTACGATTTTGAAAATCTCACAACTATGCATCTCTATTATTGAAAACGTAAAAGTTTGCGAAGCAAGGTTTTAATACTCAGTAATAAATTCTAATATCATTCAGTAAGCTAAAGAGAGATTCATTCAAGTGATTTAGTATCATAACCCTGCAACTTCTATAATCTTCAACATGGTCATGAAGTAAATTTATTTTAATTTAGGCCTGGTTCAAAACATTTCAACATAAGTAGCATTGACCTCTTATTTGTCTGCCCTACATAATGTTACCTTTGCTCTTGTTAAACACTGAAGTTAATGCATTGTCATACTAGAAGCTTTTGTTGGACGTGCTAACATACTTCAAGTTTGAAATTATAATTCCACAAGTAAAGAACCAAATGCTAATCACATCTAACTTGCAGGAAAGGTTCGAACAATAAATTACCAGCATCATGCGCTGCAGAAGAATGAACTTTACGAACATATGGAGAACTTTAGATAAGCATCTATTATAGTCAAGCATAGATGGAGCAAACCAATTCCTCAAAGAGTAGAAGCCTTTGATTACACATTGAATTCTGAAAACAACCTTATGCTTATTCCCTAATTGATGGTAATGGATGGTGTATACATACATGTGTGTGTGTGTGTGTGTGTGTGTGTGTTTGTAAAGATGCTCACTGTTCAATGATTCTGAGGAAGAGCACTAGGTTTTTTTATTTAGTATGACTTGCTATCGTGGTTTATCTTTTCCTTCATTAGTTGAAGAGTTTGCCTCTATATTATGCCCCAAATGTCCCCATTGGATCCTCTTCAACATCATTTGATAAGGGCATATGGTAAATAAAATGTACAGGAATGTCTGTAATGATATTTTAAGAATCTACAAGAAGTGAATATAAGTCTTTTGAATGAACCAAAGATCAAGCATTTAGTTCCTATCATGCAGTCACCATCTTTTAAAATAACCATAAGTTTTAAGAAATTCTTAAAGTGGCATGCCTTGCAAACATGATGAAAAGCATAAGCTACACAAGAGGGCATGAACTTTACCTGTTCGGTGGAACTTTATTCGGTAGAATAAGATAAAGGAGTCCATTTTTCAATTGCCCTCTGTGCAACTTTGGGTGACATGGAAGTTCAGAATTCAAAAACTCAAATAGTCTTTCTCTTTCTAATTCAGAATCTAATAAATGGGAATCTTGTCTCTCAAGAATACCATCTGGGCAGGCTACACTTGCTGCATGTGGCTCATTTGGACCCATCGATGCACGTGGGATATGAACGTGCTTTGCCTGGAAATTATACAGACAACAGTCAGCCTTCCAGTATAACAGGCATACGTCATGTGCATGAAAAGACTCAAATAAACCAGGTAGCAATTATCTGAGGAGGTAAGCAACAGAAAATAAGATACACTGGAATTGATCAGACTTTGAAATGAACACAATTGGGGACCAACAAGCATGCAATTTTTATAAATGGGGAAGCACTCTTTCTAGGTGTGATTCCAAGAAAACCTATGAGAGATAAGCTAGCAGCCCCCAATTTGATATACGAACCCTATATCCCTTTCTCTTTAATCCAAACCCTAAAATCCCCAATTGTCCAAGCCTAACCCCATAGCACAATAGGAAGACAGGAACCTTGAATGTTTCCTGCATCATAGAAAACACTTTTATTTGGATCGATAAACACTACATCTTTCTGTTTGGGGAAAAAAAAAAAACCTTAAAAACTAAGAAGTTCTCAACAAGCAAGAATTTTGAGAGACTCTTTTTTGTAGGCAACTGCAGTGAGATACAAAAGCGTTTTGGCTTCTTTTTGTGCCACTCTAGGGGGTGCCACTCTAGGGGGCTTTCAAATGATTCTCTATAACTGACACTCAATGAAACTGAAGAGCTCTATTTGTCCAAGTAATAAAGATTCTTTATTTTCTAAGCTGTGATCATGATTTCCCTTCCTTTTAATATCATCTACATCTTTCATCTAAAAGAAAAATGAAAGATGTAAAAATTTGATGCCTAAAAAAAGGGAAGAAGTAGGAGTAATTTACTTACAGAAACAGTATCAAGTGAATGGCCATACAAACGAAAAGCAGACTTATCAATAAAGGCTCTCGGAGTAGATCTTCTGAGGCTATAGTGGCTTCTATGGCGGCTAAGGGAGCAAGATATGCGCTTAAATTGTTCTGGAAAAGATGCATGAACCACTCTCTCGCCAAGGAGCGAACTACATTGTTTCCAAGCAATATTCTTCTTTCTACGAGTGCCTGATCCACCAGTAGCAATCTCACGTGGCCACCTTAAAAAAAATACACAAAAAATAAAAAACTGTACTTCAGACAACAGAACAGACATGTTCATAGCATGCAAAAGACGCAAAATAAAGCATAAATATCGTTAATTCATCAATGACTACCTCACGCCGACTCTGTAATACCAAGATTGGCTAAGCCCTATTTGGCCACTCCAGAACCAACTGCTCATGGCCATTATGGGAATCGTACCAAAGTGTAAAATTTTGAACATTTCAAGTTCCAGAAATTGGCTCGAATTAATTAATTACCTCTTGGAGTGAATGGAATCCCAAGACTGCTGGTGGTTGGCGTTTAACCGGATCAAAGGAAAATGACAAGGCGGAATTAGGTTAATCCGGTTCCTCCTTGATAAAGTATCATCTTTAGAAAGAGCCAGGGATGTACGAATTTGAGGCACGCTTGTCGTCAGTACAGAGCCTGAGGCAGCTGTAGCTGCCATTACTAAACCTAAAAAAAGAGAAAGGAGTTACAGAATTCGCGAGTAAAATAGCAGTGAACAAAACTTGAGTATCAATTGACGAAAGTTGAAGTTGGAGAGAGGAATACCTAGCGTATGGTATGGTGCCGGCTGAAGAGAATTGATTGATTGACAGGCTTTCTCTCTCTATCTCCTTTTTATCCCTTCAAGGGCCTCCGCTGGAGATTTTTTCCTCTGGTTTGGCTGGGGTGGTTCTCTGTCTCTCTCAAGGAAGGCTCTGGCTCATTCTGATTTTTATTTGGGTATTAGGGTTTTTTATTTATATTTTTTTGTGGTGAATGGCTGATTTCCTTTTTCATGCAAAGATTTTGGAGTTTCGACTTTCGAGTTTGTTGTTTGGACCGTTTGAAGGTAAGATCACTTTGACTACTTTGGTCGCATCTACTACCTTGCATGCAAGTTTTTAGATTTTTTTGGTTTTTATCAGGTGACTAAATTATAACTTAGTTCCTAATTTCTTACGAAACAAATAATTAGTACTTATAACTTGAAAAATCATAAATTAGTCTCTTGACTCAGCATTCACTGTAAATTTAATGATTAATTGCTATTGGTTTTGTTTATTAATAAGATCCTTTAAATACTTGATACTCTGTAATGTTAAATCTTATCCACTCTCTCTCTCTCTTTATGTTATCTTTTTACATTCACTCGTTACCATGTTTACAAGTTTGATAATTCTATTTCTCTGTCTCAATTTTGATAATTTTCTTTCTTTTTGTAAAAAAAAAAAAAAAGAAAAAAATTATTTTTTGTGTGATTCGATTTTTCTTTTTTTATTGTATAGTAATTTAACTTTTGAAATTAGGGAAAGTTTGTATTTAGATGTCACATGATTTTCAACTACATCTCCAAATAAAAACAACTATCAATAGAATCCCTTGTCTATCAAATATTACCTAATTAACTCCGACCATTAAAGTTTTATGACAAAATGACTAGTTTAAAATAAATAAGTCTTTTTTGTTTGTGTTTTTAAAGGTAAAAATTAAATTAAGGCGAGGGAATATTAAGTCATGTCCAATAAATAAAGGACCCAGTTAAGAATTTGTTTTATCCTCTTTTTTCCCTTAATATTGATACATATTCTAACATCTTAACTTAGCCGAACTCAAAATTATTTATTGTTGTTCCATTGATCAAGGTTCAATTTGCTTCCATTGCAATTCGCCCAAAAAAAAAAAAATTGCTTTCATGGCAATGATTTTTTTTATTTTCTTTGAATATTGAGGTGGAAAGACATCACCTCATTCAAAAGGTGTAAGGATTAGTATATTTCCACATTTATTCATTTTACTTATCTATTTTGCTATATTTTGTACCCTTATAATATTTTTACATTTTTCATCATTGTTACTTATTTTTCATCAATCGTGTTCTTCTCAAAACTTAAAAAAAAAAAAAAAAAAACTTTTAAAGAGGTTTGCTTCCAAATTAAACATATAAGTTGTGACATATGTTGAGATATTTTACCGTCCAATGATTGAGCATTGAATAAACAAGAAAGAAAGAGAGCATTTTATAAATATTTTTAACCTCTTAATTTTTAACTTTTTTAAAAAATATTATAAATATTTTATAAAAAATATTTTTTTATAGTTTATAAAATTAAGGGGATCAATCCTTAATTATGTTCATTTTAATTTATAAGATATTTTTTAAGAACTGAAATTGTGTATTTCTAATTTTTTTTTTTTACAATAATATTTTGTAAAATTTTTTAAAAGTTCAAAATTAGGAGGTTAAAAATATTTATAAAATGTTTATAATATTTTATAAGAATTTAAAAAAAAACATTTAAGATTAGGGGGTTATAAATATTTTTAAAATGTTTTTAAAAAAGATAAGTAACAACAAGATATCAAAACAATGTCATTTTGATATTTCAAATAACGATCGAAAATTAATAAATTTGAATCGGATATATCCAATCTCCAATAATTTGATGTTTATATTTATAATTTAATACTATGAGTTCGAAATTGCTAAATTACATGTAATAAAATGAAGATAAAATTTGTCATTAAACTTTTCTTTTTCTTTTTCTTTTTCTCCCATGCATGCCCTCTTACGGCCTTTGTATTATGTTTGTGGCTTTGAGTCGCTTTTTTCTAAAAGTAGTTGTTGCTCGCTCGCTCGCTCGCCTCGATGATTATACTCTTTACCAAAAGGAGGAAAAGCACGGTTAAGCAAAAAAAAAAAAAAAAAAGGGTACAAACCGTAGACTAATCAAGGTTTTATCATTCAAGTCTTGTTCACGCCCTTGTTTTTCAATTATGCTAAAGTTGTCTTTTCTTCAATTTTTAAGAAGTATAATTCACGTTGGAGCCTATCCTTTTGATTATCCTTTTCTAACAATATTTCATTAGAAGTAATTCTTTTTTGTTTTCTTACTTTCTTTCTTTTCTTTTCTTTTTTCTTTCATTCCACTAACATTTTTATTTTGGCTACATTTCAATCACGCTACATGCTCATTGATAAGGATTTTGCATGATTTCAGTCCTGCTATGAACACCCAATTTTTACACTTAAAGATACAATCATACCATCAATTTCTATTCGTGCATATTGTAAATTATAAGTTTTTTTATAATCAATTTTCTTTTTTATTCGATATTAAGGAGTATCTTTGTAAGTGGATTCAATGATGTACTCCCTTATATCGCTTAAATATAAAATCTAACATTCATTATAAAAACTATATTTGAGCTCCACTTTAATATAGGAGTTAAAAATATAACGAGGCTGATTGATTTTTAAAAAATAACATTTTGGAAAAAGTTTTTCATATTTTCCGAGTTTTATAAAAGTTGATCAATAAAAAAATAACTTACAATCATATTTAAAACACCCTTTAAACTTTTAAATAATTACTACGAGTTGTTAAAAAATATATATTTTACAAGGGATCCACGTCAATCAAAAAATTTAAAAATATCATACAACATTGTATCCTAACATCAATCGGAACTCGCCATCAATAGATAAGTAAAAAAAACCTTTGACTCTTTGCATAAGTGTTTTTTAATTTTTTTTTATATACATAACAAACACCCACTAAATGATTTTTTATAAAAACACCCAAACATTAAAAACAACTCATGTTTCAAGAAAATGCTTTATCCGTAAAATATTTTTCTAAATATAGTTTTTTTTTAAAAAAAAAACACCTATTAAATATTAGGAATGATATCTTCTATATGTAATGCCTCATTTTGTTAAATTTTTTTGTAGCAATATTATTTTCAATGCTTATATGTGGAGTTAATCACAATTTTAGTGTACTAACTTGTTTTTTTTAATCAAGTATTTATTCTTTAATCTTTGTTAATTGAGTGACTGAGGTTGCAAAATTTTTCTAATTAGATGTCTTTCTTTGCTTTTCATTCATATTTCTCTTTTTTTACGTACGTGGATGGCTTAAAGGACCTACGTTACATATAACAATATGTGGCGACCATAGATGTGAAGAGAATGAAAAAAAAAAAAAGTTACAACTCAAAAGAAATCAAATCATTTTACACAAAACAAATTAACTCTCTCTCTCCCTCTCCCACATATATTATCACTTGCTAAACTATCATATTAGGGTTAGATCATAGAGGGAAAACACAAATTTGGGAGAAAAAATTAGTCGAATAACTTGACAGAAATCGTTATAATGGTAAATTAAGAGGATCAATTAGATTTATCGACTTGGTGGAGTACTTACACGGAAGAAAGTCAAGTAAGATTTAAAACCATTTTGTTTGAGAATCTTTTTTTATTATTATTTTGGATTTATCGACTTGGTGGGTATTGTAAGATTTCTTCATTATGTGAAATAGTTTTTAAAAATTTGTTTAAAAATCTTCAATTTTTTTTTTATTTACGTAACGACATAGGTGTTGTTGCTTGGGTGTTTAGGGGGTATTATGTCCACAAAATAGGTCTTTTCATTTGCATTAGATGTTTGTTATCATTGTCTATGTTTGAGTAAACAAACATGAGTTTTTTACTATTTTTTTTTATGTATATGGTTCCTAAAACTGGTCCTAAATGTTTACCGTATATGTTATAGGATGTCTAAGAGTAAAGTTAATTTTTTTATAAGGGTTTTTTTAACACATTTTCCAATAATATTTTATACCGATATTAGAAATTGAAAGACATTGAATATGTCAATATTTTACATTATCAAAGCCTAAAAATAAAATGACCTCAAGGAGTTAGGTTGAAAAGTATACATAGGGTTTGGTTTTGGATCCCTTTATTGCCTTTGTCGGTAGGTTTATGTTAGTATAAATGCCTTATATCCAACCATGTTTAGATAGGTATGAGTTATTGTATTATTGCATTATTTATTAATAAAAAAATCTTTTTATTAGTTATTATGTCTTATATTTATTTATTAAATAATAATAGATATAAGTTCACATGATCCGCATTTGCATTAGTGATTGATTGAAAGATATGAAATAAATACTAATGCACATAAATAATATCATTAAATGTCTCAAATGGTAGCATTGTCAATAATGAAAATTAACTAGATGTGGTTAGACTTGTGAGTGTTGTGCTCATACTATATGATAACGAGTAGAAAATCTCACACCTATTGGTAAGTGATGATGCTAAAGTAAGCAATTAGGTAATCTATGTTAGAGAACATATCATCGGACTTGACTCGCCTTGAGAACCCATTTAATTTAGTCTATGGGAATCTCATACGAGATGGGTACAACTGGTATTTAGACTTGACGTCATCATGATTATCTCATTGAATGATTTGTATACTTTGACACTCGTTTCAATGGACCTAGTAAAAGATTGCATGTGGACGAGTTGTTGGGTGCACTAGGGATCTAATAGAGGTAAGTGGATGGTTAAGATAACACATATTATTCCTTGTATGCTAAAAAAGTTATTACATTGCACTTCGATGAATGTCTACTCAAGAAATCTATGATCACGGTAGAAGTACACTAATAGAGCATAGTTGGTTTACTTTAAGAGCTAAGATGTTTAGGACTCGACGAAAACTTATGTAACATAATCAAACAAAATTGATAACCAAGTTCGAGATCACACTATGATAAGTTGATATAAAGACTAAATTGTATGGTAATCATATTCGTGAAAAGTAATTGTGGTTAATTAATCTTCCCGAAGAATTGGGTAGTCGTGATACCTTGTTAGAAACCAATCTTGATTTATGTATTAGGAGATAAAAGAGATGTTTTTTATTCTTAATATGTTACCAACATATCTAGAAGCTTATTGAGTCACATGCATGAGTTTAAGCACCGACATAATAAAAGAGAAGTAAAGATATTGAAAAAAGTTTCTAATTTTGAAAGTTTTCTAAAATGAAATGTTTTCTATTTTAGAAATTAGTTTCCTGATTTGAAAGTTAGTTTTAAATTTGAAAGTAAATAATCTAAAAGGAAATTAGTTTCCTAATTTAGGTTTAACGGTAACTTGGGAAATTATTTTTTAACGTGAGCCTCCTAAAATTATCCAACCTAATTTATTTAGAGAGCCTAAATTAATTAATTAAGCCAAAACAGTTTAGGCTAATAAGTTTAATTAAAAGCCTTAAAGATATTTTGATGGAAGGATAAACATGAATCTTATTGGACAAGGATGAATATTTTAAAGGATAAGATCAAAAAAACCACATGCATAATAATTCTTAATCCTTAGAGGATTAGGAAGCAACAACCGATGTCACTAAAGTTTCTAGGTTAAAACTTTTATGTCCGAACACGGATGTAACCTATTGTTTAGGAACATAAAGATGACCAATTCTTGATTTGCTAAAAACTATTTTGGTAAAATGAAAGCCATGGTAAGGATTGGTATTGTAAGTGCCCAATATTCAACTCGTTTGGATGGTTTGATATATTGTATTATTATATTTTTAATATTAACAAATAAGTTTTTCTATTAATTCTTATTATTTATAATTTAATAAAATTAGATAGAAGGTTATATGATATGAATTGTATTAATAATTGATCAATAAATATGAGATAAATATCAAAGCACATGGATGATATCATTAAATGTCATAAGTCATAGCATTGTCAAAATTAAACATTGACAATATGCAATGAGACTTGTGAGTGATATGTTTTTATTATAAAATAGTAATAAAAGATCTCACGCTTATTAGCATGTGATGCCAAAGCAAGCACGTAGTTGAATAATGTTAAAGAATATATAATTGGAAGTGACTCGTTATGAGAACCCATTTAGTATAGTTTATGAGAATCTTATACGAGATGGTTACAAATGGTACTTTAACTTAAAATCATGACGACTCGTCTCATTAGATGATTGGTGTACTTTGACATTAGTTTCGATAAACTTAGTAAAGAGATGGATATGGATGATTTGTTAGGTTCATCGGACATCCGATGGAGATAGGTAGATAATCGAGATCGGATATATTATTCCTTATATATTAAAGGAGTTATCATATTGTACTTCGATAAATGATCGATAGATATGAGATAAATATCAATGCACATAAATAATATTATTAAATATCATAAGTCATAGCATTATCGGGATCGAACATTAACAATATGTTACGAGACTTGTGAGTGATATGCTCTTGTTATAAGATAGCATTAGGAGATCTCACGTCTACTAGCATAGTGATGCCAAAGCAAACATACAATTGAATAATGTCATCAACAACAGCCCCTTCATAACTTCTTTAATGAATTCCATTAACTAAAAACCTATAAGGTCATAAACAACAAATACAACAACATCATTAGCTCCAAAGTCCTATGCTTCATCCGAATCTCCATTTCATTTTTTGAATCTTTCTATATAATTTAAGTATTATTTGCTTTGCGTAACACATATTGATGGATCTATCCATTCAAAAAATTCAAAACATCTACCTCTATATTTATATATTTATTCACAAGCTCATCACCCATAATACATTAATTGATGAGTGAATATTAGGAAAAAATATCAACAACAACAAAAAAACTTAAAACATACCTTACGATTTTGGCATGTTAGGAACTTTCTATATGGATTGTTATCTCGTCCATGAAATCGTCATTATGACTAGATGATGATAATGACAATTCATCTCGGTAAATCTTCTTCAAAAATCTGTCTTTGTTGTTGAAGAACAAAGGAGGACATAAATCTACGTCTTCGTCTCTTTATACACGTGTCTCTGTCTCTATCTCTATTTGTATCTCCTCCTCTCCATCTATGTATCGCTATCTCTATCTCTTTGTATTTTTCTTTCTTATATACACACTTTTTTAGAGAGAATTTCCACCATAATTAAGTTTCAGTTTTTCTTTTTCATTTTCAACATGGTCGCCACATCATTGTTATATGGAACGCCGGTCCCTTAAACCGCCCATGTTGGCAAAAAAGGAAATATGGATGGAAAGTAAACAGAGACACCCAATTAGAAAAATTTTATAACTTGAGTTACTTAATTAGCAAAGATTAAATAATACACACTTGGTTAGAAATTTTTTTGATAAATTGGCATACTGAAATTGTGATTAACTCTTTATATGCAACTATTTCCTTCAAATACTTATTCAATTATGCATTTGATTTTGAAATAAATTCAAATTAAGTATTGTCATTTTTTGTTTTAATGTAATTGTTGATTTGATCAAATTTTCTCTCCAAGGAACTTTAATTTTGATAGCAATAAATATCATAACAAATTTTGATTTTTAATGGAGATAGTCTCAATCTTGAATTTTTTGTAATAAAAAAATTAACAATAAATTATAATACTATAATAATGTAAAAAATTTAAATTACAATATATTTATTAATTTATGATTTATATTTATATTCACATCAATATAAATTTGATGCATATATCAAAAATACATTATAAAAAATTGTATTTGGATTCATAAAAAAAAAATAAATAAATAAAGAGCCGGGCCACCACCATATGGAACCGTATTTGGATGCATAGGATCCCCACGACTTCGACTCTGTAGATCCAACAAAATTCAAAAAAATAACTACATCTCGCCCCTCCTCTCTCCCTCTCTTAAAAATCTAGAAAAACGAAATTCAAACTCCTCTTGCGCTAACGGCTACATTTCTCTCTCCACTCTCCCTCTCTCTTCTTGTCTCTCTCCCTCCTCTCTCGCTGCTCTGCCCAAACCCTACTCTCTCTGCCTCTCTCTCTAAAACCAGAATTCTTTCACTCTCTCTAGAAATTCCTGTAGTTAGCTATGAAGCACTTTATGCTACCCAGAAACCCGATATTGAGAGAAGCAGCACCAGCAGCACACAATGAGCAGTCCCCAAACCCTAGCTCTCACAAGACGAAACCCTCGCCATCGCCATCGCGAAGGACCAAATCGTCCAAAGAGAACGCTCCGCCTCCAGATCCAAACTCTATTACTTCCGATCTAAAGCCTTCGCCGTGTACTGCCTCCGCTAAGTTGAAGAGTCCCTTGCCTCCGCGGCCTCCGTCTTCAAATCCTCTCAAGCGCAAGCTCAGTATTGAGACCTCGCCGGAGAATTCGCTCTCCGATTATGGCGTCAAGGTAATTTATGCTCATTGAAAGCCTAGGTTTTTGCTTGGTTACTGAGAAAAATTTGGTTCCAAGTGAATTAATTGCTATTTTTAGTTTTTAGGTTTTATATGTTTCTGTTTGGCAACTGAAATTGAACCGACTTTTTTGTTTCTCTGTTTAAATAATGAGCAAATTTTAATTTCAGATACCTTATTCTATTTTTTTTTGTTACAAACCTTTCTTAATTCAACCAAATTGAATTTTAGCTTTCTATTTATGGACTGTGATCTTAAGATATCTATGATTATAAATCTAAGTGTTTTGTTGTTAAAAAAATTGGTTTAAGTTTGACTCCACTTATTTTCAATTTTTTGGTTTATGAGAAACGGTTTCAACTCACTTCCAAATCGTGTTGGTAAAAATCAGATGAAGGAACAGATTGGAATGGAATTTCTGTAGTATGATCTGTTATTTTCCAAAGAAAGAGTAAGAATATTTCCTTTAGGATCACCACACTTTTGCCTTTTCATTCTCTTGGGTTACATGTTGCATTTGAGATTAAACAGTTTTCTGCAACTTAGTTTTACAATGTTAATAATTATCTCAGGTAGTAGTGCGAATGCGGCCGTTGAAAAAGGACGAGGAGGAAGGGGAGACAATAGTTCAGAAAATATCTGATAATTCTTTGTCAATCAATGGACAGACCTTTTCTTTTGACTCAGTAGCGGACACAGGGGCCACTCAGGCATGATCTCTATCTACGTGGTCCTTTGCAGTGTACTGATTGATGATGTAATCAAATACTCATTTAGTTTTCTTCGATCTTGTTTTCCACAGTTAGACATGTTCCAACTTGTAGGAGCCCCTCTTGTGGAAAATTGTCTTGCTGGGTTTAACAGTTCTGTATTCGCCTATGGACAGGTATCTTCCTGATTAGTTTTGTTAGTTCTTACCTTATCTTTGATATTATATAAGATGATGTTCCCAGCTCTTCTTTCTACTTTTGAAATTGTGCTGTTCAGACAGGGAGTGGAAAGACGTACACGATGTGGGGCCCAGCCAATGCTTTATTGGACGAAAATTTATCCAGCGATCAACAAGGCTTGACTCCCCGGGTCTTTCAGCTACTCTTTGACCGTATAAATGAGGTGAAGGTTGATTATTTTGATATTCAAGTTGATTGAAGATCGTCTTATGTTGAAGATAATCACCATCGGTGCTCTTTTTCCCTTTGCAGGAGCAAATTAAGTACACTGACAAACAACTTAAGTATCAGTGTCGCTGCTCTTTTCTTGAGGTTAAGTATTCTAAATGCTCCTCTTGGTACGCTTGGCTTGTTTATTACACCACTTGATCATTCAACTTATTTTTGCAGATCTATAATGAACAAATAACAGATTTGCTAGATCCAAGTCAGAGAAACCTCCAGGTAAACAGGAAAATTTTGCATCTTAATCTGTCAGTGGAATTTAAAAATGGTTTTCTTACTTCGCAGGTCTCTTTTTTTTTTTTTTTTGTTTTTTCCAGATAAGAGAAGATATGCAAACTGGTGTTTATGTTGAAAATCTCAGAGAGGAGTATGTATTTACAATGAAAGATGTGACTCAGCTCCTGATAAAGGTTTGATTCAAGTAACTTCTGCTATGAAGAAATAGGATAGTGCTTGTGAAGTAAAATATTTGAACATGCCGTTTAGACCATTTCTAACTAGTACTGACATAAGCATGTTGTTATAAGCACTTTTCTTACACAAATTGATATGAAGTTCACGAATATTGATTTTGCCCTAATAGTTCCCAAAGGCAAGTTTCAATGCTCCCATGGAAAAATAAATGTTGAGGTTGACTTCTTTTTATACTGCAGCAAACGAAAGATTGATTGGTAGTGTAGACTGTAAAAGTTGGGAGTAGTCTCTCTTCTGTTTTTTTTTTCCCCTCGATTTGTTTCTCTTTACAGAGTTTCTTGACTAGCAAGGATCTCTAATGTTTTTTATTTTTTTATCTCCTCACTGGAAAGAGACATAAACACAGCTAGAGCAAGGACAGCGCTTGTGTTCCTTTTGTTCTAGAGCATAAATAAGGAAGGGAATGGTTCAATTATGGAGCTTGGTGGTTTTCACGGCCCAGACCTGTTTCAATTTTTCAACTCTTTCTAAAAGCGTGAAAATCATCTTCACCTTCTAATTACATCCTAAAGTGAAAGCAGAAAAGAAAAATGACTGAAATATTGATTATATCAGGCAATTTGCGTGGGGTTTTAGAAGTTTTGGAATGTTGTGGCATTATTGCTGCCGTCTTATGCAGGGAAGTCTGCATTTCTGGAGAAATGAATTAACAAGGTAGTAACGAAGCTTGGAAAAATAGTTGAATTTCACTAAAAATGTTTTTATTAAGAAATGATTGTGGGTTTTTGCTTTATCATTCTTAAATGGGATTTGGAGATATATTGTTGATGGAATTGCTCCTACAGTGCACATGCAAGACTAGCTGTCAACACCCTTCATCACTGCTTTCAGTCTTATATTTAAGGATGGAATTACTTCATGTTCTTGTTGCACCTTTTTTCCCTATTAACTTTTTCCAAGTTTGAAATTTCAATTTTTCAAAATGAACCTGAGCATTATGTTTATGTCTGCAAAATAAATTCTGCAGGGAATGTCCAACAGGAGGACTGGTGCAACCAGTATAAATACAGAGAGTTCCCGCTCACATAGTGTTTTCACTTGTGTTGTTGAATCTCGATGCAAGGTAATACTTTCACTACTCATAATTGCATCTATACTAGTTATTCTTTATCCTATGGAATGAAGTATGTTGTCAGATTTTTATTCCTTTTATTTGTTTTTCCCTTTCTGGTAGAAGGTTCTGAGTCTATTGGTGGGATTCGAACTTTATTTTCCTCCAAAAAACATTTTCCAGCTAAGCAAGTTGAGATATTGTGATGTTTGGTTACAGTATTTGATTCATAAACACAGAAGCTAGAACAGAAAGTAGCAACAAGAGCAATAATTTGTAAATTATTGAACATGCTTCTTCTTTTTTGATTTCGTCTTGCATTTTCTGCTGGAGGGATTCTAAAGTGAACTATTATCTTATAGAGCATGGCAGATGGAATGAGCAGCTTGAAAACAAGCAGAATAAATCTTGTTGATCTTGCTGGATCAGAGAGACAGAAGTTAACTGGAGCTGCCGGGGAAAGGTTGAAGGAAGCAGGGAACATTAACCGATCTCTCTCACAGCTTGGGTATGGTCATCTTATCTCATTTATAAGGTTTTTTATTTTATTTTATTATTTATTATTTTTTTTTGTGCTGAGTTTCAAGCTGTTGTAAAATCAGTTGCACTTCCAGAAAATACTACTGTTGTCAAAAAAATGGATCTTCTGATTTTTATTCAAGTCTGATACTACAGCATTTAAATATTGAGATTACCAGAAGAGTAAAAGATACAATAATCAGGCACTTGTTTGAGCTCTTTATTTAGTACTACAATTGTGATTAATAGTGATTTTAGCATATACTGCCTCTGAACAGTTTTTTCTGAATTTAATTTATCTACAAATTGAAAGGAGAATAAACTTTCTTTAAAGATTTGTTGCTCATGGCTGTTGTTATGCTACTATGTGAAGCAGATACATAGATCAGATGGGAGAGTTTATACACACATGGAAAAGATTTTCGTTCATAATAAAGAACAAGCTTAATAAAGGAACTGAAATCTTATTGTGATGTGCAAACTTTGAAAAAGGCTCATCAATGCAAGGGGACAAGCTGATTGTAATGCCGGTGCTTTAAACTGTGGGAGTATCCAAATTAAATTATGATGAATTTTTCCTCTAAATTCAAAGGAACCAGAGCAAATCAATGTGAGGATTAAGTAAGCACTAAAAGAAAGGAGATGTCATTTGATTTGGTTTGAAGTCTATCCTGCTCAGTTTTATGATTTTTAGAAATTCTGAAATTTTGATAATCTATTGTAGCAAATTCACAACTAAACCACTGGTTTTAAAGTAAACAATTAAATTCTGAGAGTGAAAAATGTCATTTAAATTGGGATGATGACAATCGTAGCATTAGCTGTCTTCTCTCCAATTGTACACCTTGCTTCTTGAGAAATTAATGTAAAATTTGCTTTGTCTATAAAGCTCATCCTCAATTTTCTTTGTTGATAAAGAAAAAAGAAGAAAAAAGTGCACTGGGGAGAAACAAGACAGGTAGAAGTTTAAGAGCTAAATGCAGTATAATACGGGAACATTCAAGTTGTCTGGGAATAAATAGGTGTAGGGAGAATTCATGGCAGAATCATCTCATACATCACATTAGGGAATTCATTCGGCTGTTTTTGAGAGTCCAGCAAAATGATAAAAGTCCTGATTGCTTTTTGTTCTGTCAATCTTTTCTATTATGTATTTTCAATGGTCATCAGAAAGTGAGTTTGAGCTGCTTCATAGATGCAATCTCTAATCAACTTGTTCATGTAAGCATGTATCAAGAGAGACATTTTCCTCTAATTATGACCAATTATGACCAATTATTTGTATTTTGCAGGAACTTGATAAACATTCTTGCTGAGGTTTCTCAGACAGGAAAGCAAAGGCATATACCTTACCGAGACTCCAGGTTGACTTTTTTATTGCAGGAATCACTTGGTGGAAATGCCAAACTAGCTATGGTGTGTGCTATTTCTCCAGCACAAAGGTAAACAATGCAGACACTGCTGTCTTAATGGAAGCATCCTTTTCTTCTTATCTATCTCTCATAATGGAAGTTTATGTGAATCAACTATGCAGTTGTAAGAGTGAAACTTTCAGCACATTGAGATTTGCCCAGCGTGCGAAGGCGGTCAAGAATAAGGCTGTCGTTAACGAGGAGATGGAGGATGATGTGAATCACTTGCGAGAAGTAATACGGCAGCTAAGGGTAGAGTCTTATTTTCGATTATTTATTTTCTTGTTTCAACAATTGCAAAATCAAGCACAAACATGACTCTGGATGAATGCAACAGGATGAATTGCACAAAGTGAAAGCAAATAGTAAGAATCCAACAGGTTGGGATCCCCGTAAGAGTTTGAACATATTGAAGAGCCTTATCCATCCACGTCCTCGATTACCTCAAGTAGATGAAGATGGGGATGAGATGATGGAAATTGATGAGGAAGCTGTTGAAAAGCTCTGCATTCGAGTAGGTCTAGGACCAGCAGATGCAGCAGACCAGAATCATGTTGATGAAGGCAGATCTATCATTGAACAAGGTACTGAGGATACAGATGTTGACATGGAAGAAGCAATATCTGAACAAGCTGAGAAACATGAAATTCTGATTTTGGGTTGTGCTGAACCTGCTAGAAACACCCCAGGTTTTTCCAATGTTAATGCTAATATTTGTCGTGATTTTATGGATTTAAATGAGCACTCTTACCAATACTAGAAAGTCCAATCGATTTACTAGTTGACACACCTGATGCAGAATCCTGTGAGGAGCCAGCTGCAGAGAAAAGGACTCTTAGTTCCTCTGTCAGCAAATTGATAACAAAAGAATCACCAAACAAAATGGTGGACACACCTGATGCAGAATCCTGTGAAGAGCCAGCTGCAGAGAAAAGGACTCTTAGTTCCTCTGTCAGCAAATTGATAACAAAAGAATCACCAAACAAAATGGTGGAGTTTAGGTCCTCGTGCACTACTTCTGGTTCCCAAAGTGGAATTTCTACAAGCATTTTTGCCACAGGTGAACCCAATGGTTCCCAAAACGAGACAGCAAATTGCGTGTCTCCTTCTAGCCTCACTATAGTTCCTTCTGAAGTGTCACCTGTTCTTAAATCTCCAACTCCAAGTGTTTCCCCTAGACTCAACAGCAGCAGGAAAAGTTTGCGGACTTCATCAATGTTAACTGCTTCCCAGAAAGATTCCAAAGATGAAAGCAAGTCAGGACCAGATAACTTACGTATATCTTTTGCAAAATCCAAATCTTCAACTGCTCTAACTGCTGAAACCAGTAAGAGTTTTCTTGCACCAACTGAACATTTAGCGGCTAGCCTTCATCGTGGCTTGGAAATTATTGATAGTCATCGCAAGAGTTCAGTATTGAGGCGATCATCCTTCAGATTTTCCTATAAGCCTGCAGAATCTAAGCCGATTCTGCTTGGTGACCAAGTTGATGTGGGCGTTCAAACTTTTCCTCAAGATGATGAGATATCAGAAACAGTGTTGTTCTGTGCGAACTGCAAGACTATAACACAACTAGAGGTGAAAGATGTAGATGAGAGCTCAAACCTGCAGTTAGTGCCCCTTGATGGCTCAGATTCTAATGATAAACCCAAAATGCAAGTTCCCAAAGTACGTTTGATGGATCCATCTTGATGCTTTGGTTTAGTGGTTGTGCTTCCCTATTTACATGTACCAACTGCATGATGTTTTATTATTGCTTCAACTCGCAGGCAGTGGTGAAGGTTTTGGCAGGAGCAATCAGGAGGGAAATGGCCCTGGAAGAGTTTTGTGCCAAACAAGCTTCTGATATAAAGCAGCTTAACCGTCTGGTAGGTTGCTACTTGGGAGCAACGTAGTTGTTTTTTCCCTTAACTGCTGAAATGATTTCCTGGCCATTGTTTACAGGTCCAACAATACAAGCATGAGAGGGAATGCAATGCCATAATAGGGCAAACAAGGGAAGACAGAATTCTTCGGCTTGAGAGCCTCATGGATGGTGTTTTATCTACCAAGGATTTCATGGAGGAAGAGTTAGCAGCAGTCATGCATGAGCACGAGGTAAGGCTGGTTTACTCAGATTTTTGTATTTATGCATTAGTTTTTAGATACATGTAATTTTTTATTTACAGCTTTTGAAGGAGAAATATGAGAATCATCCTGAAGTTTCAAGGACAAATATTGAGCTGAAAAGAGTTCAGGAGGAGCTGGAACGTTATCGAAATTTCTGTGATTTGGGTGAAAGGGAAGTCTTGTTGGAAGAGATTCAAGATTTAAGAAGCCAGTTACAGTACTATATAGACACTTCATCCCCATCTGCTCTAAAAAGGAATTCGTTGCTGAAATTGACTTATTCATGTGAGCCCAGTTTGGCTCCCCTCTCAATACAATCCAGGAATCAACCGAGGAGAGTCCAGAAGAGAAACTTGAGCTAGAGAGAATGCGCTGGATGGAGGTTGAGAGCAACTGGATATCTCTTGCTGAAGAATTGAGAACTGAACTCGATGCTTCTAGGGCACTAACTGAAAAATTGAAGCAGGAATTAGATACAGAAAAGAAATGTGCAGAAGAGCTGAAGGAAGCAATGCAAATGGCCATGGAGGGACATGCACGCATGCTTGAACAGTATGCAGATCTTGAGGAAAAGCATATTCAATTACTTGCAAGGCACAGGCAGATCCAAGAAGGAATAGATGATGTCAAGAAAGCAGCTTCTAAAGCTGGAGTTAGGGGCGCCGAATCCAAGTTCATAAATGCCCTTGCTGCTGAAATTTCTGCTCTGAAAGCTGAAAGAGAAAAGGAGAGGCGATATTTTAGAGATGAAAGCAGGGGACTTCAGGCTCAACTGAGAGATACTGCTGAAGCTGTACAAGCTGCAGGCGAATTGCTTGTGAGGTTGAAAGAAGCAGAAGAAGCTGTTGTTGTTGCTGAGGTCAGTGCCAATCAGTCCCACATTTTGATACCCTACTGTTCTTTGTCAAGATCATTTTTCTCATCATTCCTTGGGCTATACACATCTTTTAGTCTAAAAGTTTCATTTTACGTGCTAACGGAAACAAGGAAAGTCCAGAAGAAACTTCGAACAGTCGTATCACCTTTTCTGGGTTTTGGTGCATAATGTGTCTTGCATAGTCATGACATTCTGATTACTTTTTTACTAAGTGGTAAATAAATCAAATTGTTCTGTGAGAAAAAGGAGATTTAACATTCAAAATGCTCCAAACACCGTAAACCTCTTGATTAGCGAAGGAGGCTCTTAACCGATGATTGTGCTCTAGCTACATTAGCTAGCTCTTTGTTTGCCTACTGAACTTTATTGCATTGAGCTATTATTTTTGCAGTCAGTATATTCATTCACTTGATCTTGGTTTTCTTTTTAGGCATGAATGCGAAACTCATATCATTGTGTCTTTCAACATTGTGAATTATTGCATAATTTTTTACTTGCAAAATCTGTTTTATACCCTGCAAATTCATCAATATTGGCTTTTCAACACACTTCTGTGTGTGTTTATTCAGCCAAATGGAAGCTTCATAACTGCCTGGTGGGAAAACTTGTATATTTCGATTAATGATGCTCAGTACATTGAACATGAATGTTTTAGATATAGTCTGTTTTGAATATGTTGGACAACGATGAATTATGTGCCAGATAAGATTAGGTTGCTTGTGTTGTAATTTACATGTACTTGTCAAAATCTTCATTTTTGCCAGAATCCAGGTTTTACCTTAAATCATGAACTTCGATTGTGGTACTTAATGACTATTCAACTTTGTAATTTTTGGCAGCGTCGAGCTGTTGAGGCAGAGCAAGAGGCTTTAAAGGTGAATAAACAGATTGATAAGTTGAAGCGAAAACATGAAAACGAGATTAGTTCTCTTAAGGAGCTAGTTGCAGAGTCTCGTTTGCCCAAAGAAGCAATACGACCTGGTGCTCACAATGATTGTGATATGCCCAAGTATGATGCAGGTGAGCCTCTTACTGAAGGTGATCAGCGATGGAAAGAGGAATTTGAGCCATTTTATAATGCTGAAGATGGTGAATTGTCAAAACTTGCCGAGCCCTCAACGTGGTTCTCTGGTTATGATCGATGCAACATATAGAAAGTGTACGTATTACTAACTGTTGTGTTATATAGCCAAACTTGTACTGCTAGTTTTTGCCATTTATATAGTTGATGATAGTTCTCTCCCCATTTGTGAGTGCCAACCTCTCGGCTCTCTTGTTGGGCCTTGTATTCCATTCCGATTCTTGCAGTTCATAAGAGTTGAATGAATGAATATATTCTTTTATTTACTCCTACTTGCATGGCATCTATAATAATGTACCCACATTTTTATTCATACGTAGGCATGTGTTAGTATTTTTGGGCTAGTTTGTCGGATCCAAACTTAAATCTTTTCTTGGTCGGATTTTAAATACCATATCTAGATCCGAAATGATGACTTAGACACATACATGTTCGCCTTGCCCCCTCCATATTATGTCAATGCAGACTAATGTCGAAGCGTAAGACTCGCATGGACACACGCCATGCTATACGCCGTGACGTCCAAATAACTTGCTTATCTACTAAAAAAAAAAAAAAAAAAAAAAAAAAAAAAACTTGCGTTCCCAAAATTGTGGTGTTGAATACTAGAATAGAAGAAACAAAGGAGGCTGTTATTTTGGATTCGAATGGGAGTTTCAAGTTTGGGATGTTTTAGGGTAATGGATATGGTGGACCCTGCTGGAGCGACAATGGACCCATTCAAAGATCTGAAGAAACTAGAATGATGTAGTCAGGCTTTAGATCATTTATTTGTTTGGTTTAGATGTCAAGAGGATAGGAGGCAATCTTCAAGTGGATTGGAGAAGTATGTCCATGGCCGGATGGCCCCTTTATGTATATATGAAAGGCAAAAGCAGACATTCCACAAGTATTTTGGCAGCCTTCATGGTGTAGGAGGGAGGAGTCTATCGTATCATAGAGACCATAGAACAAGAAGCGTGTGGCCTTGTCTCTCTGACATGAATCTATCCATACTTGTGGACCATTTCAAAACCAGAAGAAAAGAAAACTACTGATGCAGAGCTTATGAGGACACAAGTAGTGTCTCGGAATTCATGTTCCATTTCCATTTATTGTTACAAGATTAGAAATTTGCGTAACCATTCATTACGATGTGAAGGGGGAGATGGGTTTGAAAGTGACATCTAGATAAACACCAACCAATTAAAGAAACAAAGAGAAATCTTTTGGAACTGCTTGGAAAATAAACTTCTTTACAGTTATTTTGCAATTGCATTGGAAGACAAACTTTGAGTTTGAAACCTCTTTAAGCTTTGTCGAATTTGACTTTGAAAAGCGGAATCGCGTTTCTGGGTAGTATGACCATTTAGGTTTTGCATAAAGTTGTCTGGAATGTTGGGATACCCTTTCCACAGTTGTACTGCAAGCAAGTAATAACACCAGGGCGGTTGATGGTTATGTTTGGTGAAACAAAATGATACTACTACTTGATAGCTTTTGTTTTCCACCACCTCCTCTATCAACGGTTATACCAACCGAAGTTAAAGCTAAGTGCTTGTTGAGATCAAAGGAAAGAGACATAAAGAGAAGGAAGATTTTATGGATGAAAAACCTATGATAGAAAGATCAATTGACAGCCTGGTAAATGGACCCCCTTCTCTAATGATCATTAACAATAACCCCACCGAAACAAACACATTCCATCAATCTCTCCTAATCATATTTCCTACCTAGGGTCCCATTTCCTCTTCATCTCCAGATTTACTTTCATATATATATAAAAAAAATGATAGACTTTCGCCATCAAATCTGATACAACTAGTTTCAAATCGTCACGCATGGATTGAAAATCTTGAAGGAATGCAACCTATATATATATATATATATATATATATTCCATGTTGCTCACGGAGTCACAAACAATCAAGTAAAATTCAATTTACGAAATAATTTTATCTATAAACAATATCCCTATGATAAAAGCCGTAATGCGAAAAAAATTATTACCGCAAGGTATAGAAGAGAGGTCATAAACATCTATACTCGTAAAATCAATTTTTAACGGAATGAAAAATACAAGTAAAATAGAATTATAATTATAGAACATAATGCTAATCAAAATGCATATATTTATTTCATACACTATTAAAATGACGAGAAAAATATATTTTACATCCCAAAAAAAGCTATAATTGAAAATACCATTATTTTTGGTACAAAAATTTCTATAAAAATAGAAAATGTCTTACTTTGAGTGCGGTTTGCACTATTAATTTATGTAATTGGATCCCAATCACATTTATGACGAAACCTAACAATCGATAACTAATTCAATTTATTACCTTTACATGATAGATTTCAACAAAAAAAAAAAAAAACTATAAAAGAAGAGCCATAAGTAATTGAGTTCAATAGTTTTTCGTATAAAATTATTGATTTTAAAAATATAATAATATGAGAAAGATAAAAGTATTTTAAATATATCCGTAAACACCCTTGTTTTGAATAGTCTACAAAAACAACTTTTTTGTAAAAAATTCCTTCCGAGATCTTTTAGTTGCAGTAAAGACTTGAAACTTTTTCCACTAATAATGTGTGATCATTTTGTTAAAGAAAATGTGGAGTGATATTAACAAGAACGTGACTTTGATTACCAATCATATTTGGTTTACAACTTTTTTGTATAAATTATCTAAAAGATGAGATAATGACAATATGCTACAAATCATCTAATTTCACCTAACTTTTAGGTTTTGCAAGAGCGGGTCATTTTCCGCTAATGTGTAATTTCTTCAAGTTTCATTTTTTTTACTAAATGTACTATTCTTATTTTATAGATTCTTGCTAAATCAATGAGATAAAGTTTCGTTAAAGAAACTTTTTTTCAAGTTAGTTAATACTTTTTGTCATTGATTTATAGACTATAACATCATTTGGTGAAAATCTTTCGATCTCTAGCATTAATCATTTGAATTTTTCTCGTCAAAAGGACAATAACTACATGATTTGATTTGTTTTGATTGAAAGTATACATATATATCGCATCCGAGTTGCTTTATATCTAGCGCATTCCTTGCCATAAATTTTTAATTTTATTATTATCCTATGAGATATCAACACATGTTTTGCTTGGACATCACTACCCATCCGATACCGAAAATTCAAGCGAGATATCGGCATACAATTTATTTCAACAATCTTCTTTCGATTGGCTGCGATAAAGAACAAGAAACCATAATTCATTTCTTAATCTTAGCTGCTGCTGCTGTCTTTAATTAGGATCTCCTTGGTAAGACAGCTTATCTTTTTACCCTTTGTAGTATTCAAAGGGACTCGGAATACGTAACACAATGTCTGTTAGAGTCTTTGTGTGATCAATCTTGTGAGTTCCGAACCCTCTCAATCAAGCAACCTAACATTTATAATTGATATGAAAGATCTAAGGTATGATATCTCAATTTTTTTTTAAAAAAAATTATCTTTCGGTCCAAAATTTCGGTAAAAGAACAAAAATAGGAAGGATACATGGCGGATAAAAATTAAATGATTGCTGGATTTTAAAAGCATTGCCCTATCAAGTACACTTAACCTTGCATTTAATCTTTCTATTATGTGCATTAATGTTCAAATCAATTAAAGATGATTTTACCAAAAAAAGATTGCGATTTCTTTTGTGGTCGTATGGAAATTGGATCTTATTGACGACACTTAGATGATGTGATAAAACTTATGTATCTCCAAAGGGCATCCATCCATCCATCTATCTATACATCCGCACGCTACTACTTTATTCTTCCACTCGTCCATATAAAGATTTCCTTTTCTAAATTATAAATTTTATTAATTAAATTAAGTAGATGAGATTGTAAAGCTCTCTCACTCTTTGATTCCTCAGCCTAGCCATGACTTCACTCGTCGCCAACCCGTGCTTTTGATGCACTCGCTAATTCCTCATTAAAATAAAATAAAAATGGAGCCAAAAGAGAGCAACACCTTATCGCAAAGCTCCAAAAGATAAGAAGTTGGGATGGCTTTCACTTTATCCACATTCAATTTGAAATATATGTTATGACAAACAAGTAAAAACAAGACACGTAATTGACATATAGTAATTAAAAGATAAAGTTAAACAAATTATCAACACACCGCATTTACGTGGTTCGACAAATTGCTTACTTCACAAGCGAGAGGGAAGTTTTATTAGCTTGATAATAAGAGAATACAAGAATCATAAAGGCTCAATACAAAGTCTCGTCTTTCACTTTATTTCCTAAATAGAGACATAAGGAGGTTTAAATACCTCATACCTATAAAGGAAAAATCCTAATGAGCTAAATATATTATTGGTCCATAAAATTCAAGCCATATATAACAAATCTCCACCTTGGTTTGAATTCCGCAAACTTTAAGAATGTCAAATAATTCCTCAAAACACACCTCTAAGTTTACGTGAGCTAACTTGATGTAAGAAACAAGAGATGTGAAGAGAGAAAATATTGACTTCAACGTTAGGACTAACAAATTCATTCTCTCCAATAAAACCCCAACATGCACAGATCAAATGCTTAAGGCACACCTACACAAGACAAGCGTTTCACATGGGTAGAAGCATGAAGCATGAGAGAGATAAGAAAACTCACATGATCGTGTCTCTTTCCTTCGCATGGTCGAGCCTCTCTTTTTAGCAACAAACTTTGATTTTCTTAACACCACTCGAGTCCAAACAAGTGCATGAACTTGTTTGCTATAGCAGAGTTTAGTTAACACATTAGTTAGATTGTCTTTACTCTTTAATGTGAACTTTCTTCATTGTAATCTTCTTGTCAAAAACTATTTTACAAATAAAATGATACCTAATATCAATATGTTTGGTCCTCTCATGATGTGCTTGATTTTTAATTAAGTGCATAGCACTCGGTTTTCACAAAAGGCAATTGAATTTTTTTTTATTGAAGACCAAGTTCCTCTATAAAATTTCTTAACCAAATAGCCTTCTTCATGACCTCAATCGTAGCCATTTATTATGCTTCGGTAGTTGATAAAGCAATTATCGACCGTAATGTTGATCTACTATTAATAGCAAAACCCGAA